GACATTACAACGTGTATGTATAAAATGTATCAACAGTGGCATTTTTATCTTTTTAAATGGGTTCACAAGTAAACCTTAAGGATTTGTTACTGAATTAATCAAAATGAATAGATTTATCTTATGTCTATTGCTGTAGAATTAAGAATTTTTGCTATTGAGATTCAGATATTTTTAAGATTATAAATTGTGGTTTGATAATGCTAATATACAGAATTTTGTTTGTGGTACAGCTCCTGTCACTCCCATTGATGGTGTTCAGCAGGACAGTGCAAAAGTGTCCCGCAGTGGCCGACTCATCAAACCACCACTGGAGTACTGGAAAGGAGGGAGGATTGTTATGGACTCTGAGATGAACGTTACTGTCCATGAAGACTATTCAACCTCAGTACCATCCACGGTACTCTTATTTGATTCAGCATTTCAAACTGTGTGTCTTTATCTATCGCTATGGTGAATGTCGGCCATTTTTTAACTGAGGTGTTATTTTTGCCAGCCAAAGAAGCCGGCAACATCACAGATTGCAGAGGAAAAATCATTCAGACCCAAAACTGTGGAAAGAGGTGTGTATTGATTATCATAATTTTTATTATTACTTTTTTTTTTTTTTTCATTGCAATTTTCCATATTTATATGTTTTACTAAAGGGAGATGCATCACATCTAGCAGTGAAGATGAATTATCAGTGCCAAGAAGGAGAATCAAACAGGTTTCCAAACCCCAACAGAAGATACCCAGCAATCCACTTCCGGCTGAGAACACAGCACGGAGTAAACCTCCAAGATCTCAGAAAGGGCCCCTGGTAGTGACCACCATGTCTGATTCAATTCCTGCAGCAAAACAAAACGCTAGTAGACCTCAAAGAGCCTCTCTGAGAAAACAGCGTTCAGCAGAAAAGGATACCTTTCTGGATTCAGGGACCGAAATGAAGGAAAAGACAAAAGTTGATGCAGTAAATGGTAATTTCATTCCTGGAGATGAACAGGAGACCGGCTCAGAGGAAGATCCAAAATCAAAGCGTAACAGCAAGTCCTCCCAAAAACAAATTCAAGTTGAACCTCAGCCCCTGCCACACGACTACAGTTCTTTACGCCGAAGCTCTCGCATAAGCTCCAGAATCATATACTCTACAGACTCAAACAGCTCCTTCACTTCTCCAGACCTTCCAAGAAGGCAAAGAGAAAAAAAGTCTACAGCCCAGAAACAGCTAACCAAATCTCTAAGGACCTCTGTGCTGCAAAACTCTATTGGGCATAAGGAACAAAATGATCAAGAATCAATGAGATGTTCACAAAGACCAAAAGTTATCTCACAAAAAAGTCCAGATGATGTGTTGGTGGATGCTTCTATATCTCTTCTCACAGACGATAATGATGATGAAGACCGAGTACAACATGAACAAAAGGCCACATTATTGTTGAGAAAGGCAAAACCAAGGAAAGGTAAATCCCAACCTAAAAGTATTGGAACCCCAGTTTCCTCAGAAAGCATGCATTCTGAGCACTCGGAGGATGAGGAAAGTGTTTCAAATAACAGAAGATCAAAGAAATCTGAAAAGGGAAAAGCAAACAGTAGAAGCAAAAAAACCCAAGCAGAAAACAACATGCTTAATAAACAAGAGGAGCTATTGGATGGAAAATGGACTGAAGAAGAGCTGCAGAAACTACATGAGTAAGCGTTTATCTTGCATTCCAGTTTGAATAGTTTTTAATGTACAATGTTTTGAATTTAAGGTTTTCTTCTCTTAAGTTTTCACATGTTAGGTAAAAGTAGCAAGCAATTCTGAAAATGGTTTGAATGTATTAGATGCCATTTACAAATGTACACCAATCTCTGGACAGGGGTGTCAACTCATTACCCAAACACCAGAGCGGTTACTGGGCACATGTTGCATATGTTGTTGGCACCCGGTCTGCTGAAGAGTGTCATGAACAGTATAATGCCCATCAGAGGAAGAGCAAAATCCCCAGACAAAGACCATCAAAGAAACCAGCGGCAACTGAGGAGTCAAGTTAGTTTTTATACTTTATAGTTTCGAGAACTGTGAGTTTTAAAAAGTGTGGTAGAAATCCATGCTTTTGAAAATGACTACAATTTATCACCTCTTTTTTTTTTGTTTTCTATTTTGCTTATAGGCAAGGAAGTAGTTGAAATCACTGCTAAAGCTGGAACACTTAAAAGAAGACATCAGATGAGACATTTCTTGGAGCACATGCCCAAAGATGACCATGATGACGTGTTTACCAGCTCGCCCATGCACAGTAAACAAATCAAGGTGCTTTTGTGTGGACTGAGTTTGAGCACAACTTTAGACATTTCAAGAATGTGCATTTAAAGTTAATATGAATGGGGGAAAGTGCAGTATAGTGGAATAAGTCCTGCCTTCTAAATAAAACGGCTAATATAGCACAATAGTGGGTTCTTCTCAATGTTAAAACTCCATTTGGGCTCTCTCTATATGGAAAATTATAATTATTAACAAGAACCAATAAACCTTTAAAAAATAGGTTCAGAGGTTTCATGTTTTTTATGCAACTCTTCTGATTGCATTAATTTGATAGATTTTTAAAAGGTCAAATCAATTTTAAGAGATACGTTTGTACAGTAAACACAACTTCAAAATAGATATCAGAGACATCAGAAAATTTACAGCAAAGTGCACAGACTTTCCTTTAAAAAGGGCATTTGTTTAGAGCCCCACGCTCTGAACTAAACAATATTTAGATGACTGCGACCAGCCCCCTGTCTGAATAACACCATGTTTTTTTTTCTTTTTACCTTCAGAAAGTCTAACTTGATCATTGTCTTTTGTAGTTGCCTGTATTTGCTGCAAATGGAGATGATAAGGATTTCAGCCAGCTTCAGAACCCTCAGACTCCCAGTTCAAGCATGTCTACTTCTGCTAAAACCCCTCAGTGTTTACACATCAGCCCAGGAATGATGGGTTCTATAAATAAGTATGTTTTGTGGATGGATGCTGTGCAGTCATTCAGCTTGTTGTCTCATATTATTATAGAAATATATTTTAATTGCATATCTAATTTTTTAAATGTATATTTTAAGGAATAACTTGGATAAGTACATTTTCCATCTTCAAAAGAACCAAAAAGGAAGAAAACGAAACAAAAAGGTTGCACAAACGGTAGTTTTCTCACTATCCTTGTTCTGATAAGATTGATTTATTTTATGATGAAAACATGGTACATTTCTTTCAGTCGGTATGACACAAGTCAATTTTTCCTTCTTGTGTAGGAGAAGCTTACACCAACCCCAGCTGCCAGGAAGACCCTAAAAAGATGTGTTGGTATGAAAGTTACTGTGCTTTTCTGTGCCAAGTTGAAAAATAAAAGTGGATATGCATATATATTTTTTATGTATGTGGATCTCTTCAAAGAATCTCCCTGTGTTTTCAACAGCTGAAGATGATGACTTTGTGGTGTGGAATATGCTCTCAGATAAGGATATGCCATCCAGAGAAGATGACAGTGACGAGGAAGATGATTATTTTATGGAATATTGCTGAGCTGCACTATCACTGTTTGGAATTAGTAAAAAGTATCTTAAAGAGTTAGTGTCAGTGCCGGTAATCGCATTATTTTACAATATTTTAGCTTCTACTTAGCATCCGGTTAATTTTAATTGTGTTTTGTTTTGTCAAACACTGAGGCTCATAAAATGTTTGCTCTCCATGACTTCTAAAATATCACACATCATTTTTTTAATGGCCATTGTTTTGTTTAGTTTATCTGCAATGCAGAGTTTATCAGTGGATCGTGTTTTAATTTGGAGTTTTTGAATCTGCAGATGTTGATTCAAGTTGTAATGAAATAAGTTTCATAAAACAACGTTCAAAAGAAACGAGTTCTAATTATTCCTCACTGTGTAAGAAACAAGTTGCTTTAACAGAGAATGTAAATGTGCCATTTTTAATTCTTTTATTTGATTTATATTGTAAATACATATCTAAGCAAACACAATGTATAAACAAATAAAATTATTAAAATCTCAATTTTGGACACCAGTTTTATTTTGGGGCAAAAAGGGCAGAAATAATGGTTGAGCAGTAGTCTCAGATGTCGGTTGTCTTTACATTTCTTCACTTTTTTAAATACATATTTGAATGATTTTTTTTTTCTGCCCACAAAAAAAAAAAAAAAATTATGAATACTATAGTGTTTTTGATCCATACTATAGTGAAGTACTTGAATTAATCTGTGATTTATCATTTGTGTGGTATCAATTATAGTAATGTTAACAAATAACCCAACACTGTAGTTTTGTACAGTACTTCTACAATAGGATATATTATGTTAATAAATATTAACATTTAGAAGTTTTACTACTTTTATCACGTATGGCCATGCATCCAAAGCGTTTTACAAACATGAGGGGGGTCTTTTCGACTCTGGTGTGTAGCATCCATGTGGATGATTCGATGGATGGCAGCCACAGGACAGCGGCGCCAGCGCACTTACTACACACCAGCTATTGGTGGAGTGGAGAGACAATGATCCTGCCAATTCAGTGGATGGGGATAATTTGGTAAGGGCCAAATGGAGGGAATTCTTTACTTTTTACAAGAATTGCCATGGGACGTTTAATGACAACAGAGAGTCCTTCACATTATTTTACTTTACAGGGGCATTAGGATTTGGGATTACGGTCCTGCGCTCCCTGCTGGCCTCACTAGCACTACTTCCAACAGCAACCTAGTTTTCTCATGTGGTCTCCCATCCAGGTACTGACCAGGCTCAAGCCTGCTTCAGTGAGTAACCCAGCCCAAGTCCTGACCTCTCCTAATAGGTGAATCTTATCAAACGTTGGTTGGTTTAGAAATGCTATACCACATAAATGCCACCTATATTGAGTATACCACATTAATGCTTATGTTATATTGTTACACAAAAATTAAATTGCTGTACATGTAGCAAATTTAGGCAGCAATACTCCAGTAATGGCAAAATGTATGTGTCCCTCTAGCGGTGACTCACGGTCATGTTCTCTTTAACGTGGCTGCTTTTCACAGTTTGACTCGCACTTTCAGGCAAGCAGATGTCTTTGAGGAATTACACACAAACAACCGACTCAAACAGAGAAATACCTCTCTCACTGCCCTCCCCCTTACAATACGGTTGATGGATTCAGCAGGTAATACACATTTTTCTCACTATATTTTCATTTTAAATACAACAAATTTGCTGCTTTTGAAGATTTATCCCGCTAGCATGTCAGAGGAATTAGTTAGCATTGGATATAAGCTAGCGTTAGGCTAGCAAAATACCAAACAGTTACTAAATTACTGACATCTACATGTTACAATTTAGATTGTCTTATGTTTAGTTAAAAAATAAATGTTAGAGGATAACAATCTTTGTGTGAAGCGGCAGCAAATCGGGTTAGCAGGAGTCCTGTTCATTTAGCCTGGAGTCATCATCTGTTATACATCAACAAATCAAACACGCTTATAAAGCCCTGTTTATGCAAATATGTTGATGCATTTCTCAAACAGATTCGATTTTTTTAAATCAAAAGCAACAACGAACAAAGGTTAATAATGCAGTTTTATTTATTAAACACTTTCATTGTAATCATATGTATCGTGCAGATTTAGTTTAAACTGCAACATTGAGCCAAATTGAAATATAAGTGACATTTTGTGGATCTTAAAAAAGCTCAGAAAAGTAAGATCTCTTTCTCCCTCCAATATTACTTACCATTTAGCAAACTTGACATACATTTTAACTATCCCATGCTTTATGTACCCTCCTGACAGGCTCTTTGATGTCAGTATCCCACAAACTTCCTATTTGAGGTTTTCTTATTTTATTTAAACACTGTAATGGCATGATCTGCTGATTTCTCTCAAGACTGCGCAGACGCACTGGACATTATGCATAATTCATAGCAGCAACATATAAGTTTACAAGCTACTTTTTGAAGAATTGACGTTCCAAGGCCAGTAAACTCATCATGAACAGATATTATTACAGACTTTTTCGCTTTCAGATGAAATGTAGAAGTTATAAAACAGGAAACGCAGCAACATTGTTATCAGTAAATGCAGACGTGTAGAGTCATATTAATTGCATCAGTTCCTTATTACAACAGTTTTTTTTTGTATAGTTTGGGACTTGTGATGTCATTTTAGTTTCTTTTAGATGCCATGTATTCGTGCAAAGGAAAAGATGTAAGAGTTAAGATTTAAGAACTCTGTATTTGTACCTTAAAGCCACTTAATTAGTTATTCTGACAAATTGCCTGCCTCTAAATTATGATTTTTATTTAAAATGTGGAAGAAATTTTATTAGCCCTTTATACAGGGTATCCACAGGCTCTTAAATTGTCTTAAATTTAAAAAAACTAAATTCAGGTAGCTTTATATGGACATAGGAAAATTAAGACCTACAACACCACAATATTTCAGTGAATTTAAGACTTTTTAAGGCCTACAACACAATATTTCAGTGAATTTAAGACTTTTTAAGGCCTACAACACAATATTTCAGTGAATTTAAGACTTTTTAAGGCCTACAACACAATATTTCAGTGAATTTAAGACTTTTTAAGGCCTAAAACACAATATTTCAGTAAATTTAAGCCTTTTAAGGCCTACAACACAATATTTCAGTGAATTCGAGACTTTTTAAGGCCTACAACACACTATTTCAGTGAATTTGAGACTTTTTAAGGCCTAAAACACAATATTTCAGTGAATTTAAGACTTTTTAAGGCCTAAAGTCTTAAACTCACTGAAATATTGTGTTGTATGTATTAATTTTCCTATGTCCATGTAAGTCTACCCAGTCGGGCCAACACCTATCCAATGAAACATCTCAGGAAAAGTTTTAACAAAATGTTATTTATTGACTATTTACCAATATAGCCTGCTTATCTTCCTTACAATAACATTAGTTTTTCGTGTTTTTTAATGTTTCAACTGGGCCATTAGAAACAATTCTTAGCGTTTAGCCTTGTGTTAAATTTCATTTATAATGGTCTTTAAAAAGTCTTAAAAATCTTAAATGTGACATGATGAAACATGTAGAAACCCTGTTTATAGAATAAACTGATGATTAGCATTTTACTTAAACCCATACCATAAATCCTGAAGTGATATTTTCTTTTGTATAAATATGTATAAAGTATGGTGGCCAAGAGAGCTTAACATGCTGAAATTTAAGAAAATAAGTGCAATTACAAAAAACACCAGCAAATTGCGAAAAGATCAGTTTGACAGCACACATGTTGCAAATTCTCACAACGCAAAAAAAAAAAAAAAACCTGCTGCCTTTTTTCTTACAACACAAATAAATGAATAAAACGCTGCATTATATCACAACACTTTTAAATAACATGGAACACAAGGGAAACTATTAAAGGGGACCCTAAAACGTGAAAGACCTGGCTAGAGCTGTGCGATTAATCGATTAATGCTGTTTGTGTGTCATAGCCTACTAGCCAATTGAGTGAGCACGATTGAGTAATGAGTGTATTGATAAAAAGTCAAATGAAATTTCCCGTTGACACTTAATCTTGTAGCAAGCAACAGCAAACTAAATTTCAAAGTTGTTTCAGCCATGTTAGTTTGCTGAGTGTTCTGTATTTTTATAATTACTTACTATTATTTTGTGTTTTTATAAAAAGCTATATAATATGCTATATATTTATATAAGCCATATCTCCCTAATTTCAGTTCAACTTGTTTACAGAAAGGTAAGGTCATTGTATTTGTGTTTACTGTTTGCTTTAGAGAAAAATGAAAATGTCATTTCTGAATATTAAAATTAAAAATTAGTTAAATTAGAAACTAATTTGAATAAATGTTTAAGTAATTAATATCTTTTCAGTTCCTTTTTTAACTAACACTCACTGCATTTTAGCAGTAAGAAGCTACAATACAGAATAGGGCTGTGCAATTAATCAATTTTTTTTTGCGCTAATAATTATGACTTCAACTGATAATCATTTTGAGTTATCATGATTACAATTATGACCAAAATAATCACGATTATGATTTTTCTCATAATCGAGCAGCCCTAATACAGAATACTGAGCTGAGTCTTGACTACAGACTACAGAAATCACAGTATATGTAAAAAAAAAAAAAATCGCAATTATATATTTTCCCCAAATTGCGCAGCCCTAGACCTGGCTATTTAGGTTATGGTTATTCAGGCTAATAAACTACAAACGACAAGGGAAGCAGTATATTAACCTGAACAAACCAAAAACTCACCTTTCAGAGATCACCTACAACTTCACTGAGCAATAGTCACGGCACAGCGGCGTCCGTCACATTTTAGAGTCCATTTGAAACATTTCTGTTGTGTTCTGTTCTTTTTGCAAATGTGAGAAAATTCAGCCCATTAAAATGTTTTTGCATTGTGAAGATTTGCAGCACATATTTGCTGTCAAAGTGATGAGGATAATTTCTCAACTTGCTGTCATTTTTGTAATTGAATGTGTTTTCTTAAATTGCAGCACGTTAAGCTCTCTCGCTCACCATAATAAAGATCCTATCTAAGTTGCAAAAAATAAAACGTTATTCTTAAACATTTATTTAAATAAGAAAATTATTACTCCTGAAACTATTTCAAAATGTTTTAAAATAAACATTAACTGAAATATTATATTAATCATACTTATTTCATCTAGTTGCCCATTGCTCATTTTTATTTACTTTAATGTACTAAACTAACAAAATCTGAAATAAAAAAATTTGAATAAAAAGATATAAATAAAACTAACTAACTAACTAATAGAAATCACAAAAAATACCAAAATACCTTTCTTAACTAAACTAAAAACAATAAACGCAATTTAAAATATTCAAATGTATAAAATAGGATATTAATAAAGCAGCATTTGCTTATTTTGTTTCAATATATTTACTTTTCTGCACAGTTTTCTGTTAACCTTTCCCACGGATGCCTTAGTATTTCCTCACGGCACTTTGGTGTAAACTTTTGCTTCAGAGCAGATGGATGCTTCTAGAAGGTGAGAGGTGCTGCGGTCGTGGGTCTCAGGTGAAAAGCTGCAGGGAGCCAGGAAGATGGAGCAGGCTCATAGTTTACTGCTCAACGAGGAGGCCTGCAGTCAGCTGCCGGAGCACCAGAGGGCTGAGTTCGTCTTCGAGTGGCTGCGCTTCCTCAAGAAACTTCTCCCTGCCACAGACCGGGTGAGTCGAGGCCGCTGACAATAAGCTCTCTGTTTTGGAGTAGGAACACTTCTGTCTGTCTCCCTCTCTTTCTTTCTCTTTCGGACACAAACAGAAGCAAGCCTTTTAGAACAGACTCTCTGATTATTTGTCTGCCTTTCCACCGTCTGTTTCTCAGCCTGCAATGGACTAGCAATGTGTGAGTTTCTTGCTGATGACGTGCTGGGAAACACAATTAACACTACATTTGGCACGCGAGTCAAATTTACTGATTTTTTTTGTTTTCTTTACTATTACAAAAGCCATTAGTAAATGATTCCACATAATCTAGTCAAAAGTGAATTATCCATTCATTTATTTTCTTTTCGGCTTACTGCCTTTATTAATCAGGGGTCGCCACAGCGGAGTGAACCACCAAAAGTGAATTATTAACAAAAAAAAGACTAGGATACAGCAAGTTACACCCAACAAAGTCCATTGAAGCAACGATCTGATTTAACTTCTACCACATCAGCATCTCTATTTAGATGATTTTTTCAACCATTAATTCAATTCACATTTTAATTGGAGGACACTTAGTATAGCCTACTACACTGCAATTAGATAGAACTCGTTGTCTTTAATCCAGGGAATCTCAGACATGTCTTGGATGATGGTTGAATGTCAATTCCTAAACATCTTCCTGTGTATTTTACATTCACTCAATGTAACTAATCAATATAACCTTTCTCCCTTCTATTATTTATTACTCAAGTTGAGGGGTTCATAGTTCTTTAACTCCTTCCCTGGTCATATCAGCCCTTGACATCCAAAGTATTTTTTGTTTCTACTATGAAAATCAGTGGCTGAATTTTTTTTTTCTTCCCCAACATTCTTCAGTATATCTTCCTTTGTGATGAACAGAAGAAAGAAACTCAAACAGGTTTGGAACAATTTGGGAAATAGTTCATTTTGGGTGAACTATCTCTTTAAACTGACTAGAAGTATGCATGTAAATCAGATGTTTTATAAAATAAAGGTTAGACCGTGAGCTTTGACTCGTGCTGTGTTCTTACATTTTTTTTTCTCTCTTTTAAATGTTTACATTGCCGATAGTGAAAAATAAAAGCACACCTCTTAACAAAACAATATGTTGTGTTGGTTTTTGTGTGGCAGGCTGATGTAAAACAGAAACAGAAGCGTCTGGTGGAGCAGCTGACGACAGTACTGACGAGTTCTCCGGGTCCCCCGACGCGTCTGCTGCTGGCACAGTGCCTAGCGCTAGTGTATCGAGTGGGCGACTCCCTCACGTCCAGCCTCACTGTGGACCGCTGTAATGATATCATCCGCAGCAAGGATGACTCTCCCAGCTTCCTGCCTACCCGACTGTGAGTGTCATAAATCTGTGGCCTACATGCACGCATCACGCACACCCACCGCCTGCACTGCAGATGGGCTTCAGCTTGATCCTCTGCCACTGACTTTACTTATTGCTCCCTACAGGGCAGCTGTGGCGTGTTTGGGTGCGCTGTATGAGCAGCTGGGCCGACTGCTCATCAACTCATTTAAAGAGACCACAACAAACCTTCTGAAAGCTATGAGGAGTGCAGAGGTAAGTGTGGCCTTGCAACAGTATGTCATTTCAAAAACATAAAGATGTGACTGTACGCGATTGTGGAAAATCATGTTTTTGTTTGTTTTGATGACCAAACTTGGTGTTTTAAAGTCATCACATAAACCATTTTATCATTTTGCTCTTGAACGACTCATGATTTACTGATCAAAACTTTGTGGACAGAATTAATTCACCATCATGAAGGTAAATCAAAATATTATATGATAAAATAAATGAATAAAGTTAGCCTGTCTCTAACATAAAATTTCCAAAAGCAAACTTCAACACAGTCATATCTCAATGTACTATTTTTTATTTATTTATTTATTTATTTTTGCTTATTGAAGAACATGTTTTACTCTGTATGTCCCAATAAATAAAAGTACAACCAGTCCCAGTACAATAAAAATTTTGGGTGAACAGTATTTTTTTTTTTTTTTTTTTTTTTGGTGTATGTAAAGTTTTATCTTTCAGAAAGTTTGATATTTAAACATCTCATCTTGAATTAAACCACATTTGAACTTAAAGTAAACACAAGTTTCTGTGATTGATGTGATCTGGGATGCCTGTTCTTATAGAGAAAATTGGATGCAAATAATATTTTTATATTGCAGAAAATATATATTTTTGTTATTTTTTTTTTTAAATCTGTGTAATGTTTGTGTGTTGATGTGTCCAGTCTCAGGGTCGCTGTGAGATCATGCTGTGCGTTGAGAGGATTCTGAGGGGTTTAGGTGTAAGTGCTGTATCCTGTCACAGAGACATCTATAAAGCTGCTCGCACTGGTCTCACTGATCGCTCCATGGCTGTGCGCTGTGCTGCTGCAAAGGTACAAAAAAAAACTCAACCACATGCCTCAGTTGCTGATCATTAGTCTGCTTCACAAAGCATATATTGCTTATGGACGGGCAAGGGTTTGCATTCATAGATTACTGAAGGAAAATATGTTTTTTTTCTTTTGTGGAATCTTAAAGAGATCAGTTCACAACAAATTGATTGCACCATGTCATTTTATCCAGATTTATTCTACTAGAATGCTAATGAAGATTTTTTTTTATCAAAATTGAAAGATTTTTTCCTCTCCGTTTAAAATTGTTTTCACCTTCAAAAAGTTTGTAAAGCATTCAAATAAAAAATTTGTCAATCAAGCAATTTAATCCAGAAAGACTTACCAATTTCTTGATATGATAAACAATTTAAACTTTTATTCCCATCTAAAAACACTAAAATATGAAGATTTCTTAAGGCTTGTAAAATAATGAGTATTTAACTACAGTGGTTTGAACTGTAGTTTTGTCTAATGACTTAAAAGTTATCAGTATGATGGTGAAAACTGCATTTCTAGTCAAACCATCCTTCTGCAATCTTATACCAGTGGAAATGAGGGTAGCATTAATAGCTAAAAATGTGGGAGAGCGTTGCTATTAAGTGATAGTATTGTGTTGCAATATGGAGCAATTAAGTGTTGATGCTAAATCAAACGTAATTCACAAATACTTGAAAATGAATTGATTTAATGACAATAACTTGCGATGGTTACAACTGAATTAGTTACAACCTAACTCTATAAAATGATTAAACATGAAAGGATAAAAACGTGACATAAATTGTACCTATCTTTAATGTAAAATAAAGTTACCTGAGAGGGAGAGACAGTGGGGGAGAGAGAGAGAGACAAAAAAGTAGGCCCTGAAGATAGCTTGATAGCAGTAGATTTAGAGAAGAGAACTGCAGAGCAGGAAAAGCACAGAGCAGAAAAAGAGGCCAGAGCAAAGTTTACCATCTATTTAGTATTTTTCTTTGACCATGTGACCAAAGCCGAAATGTTGAGACGTACAATCTGACCAATCAACATGTGACCACATCCTAAGACCCTCAAAATCCACAAATTAACCAGGCCCTGATCTTATCAGTATCTGTCTTTGGATTCTGTACTGTCTTTCTTGGTGAGAAAGATATGTTTTGCCACATAAATAAATGCATATGATAATTTGGCTTCCTACACTAAACCACTAATTTCATTTGGATTTTTAAATCATTGAATAATAATAATAAGAATTTTGAGTAAACAGAATTTCAACGGAGGGACCAAAATCTCACAGATTTCATTTTAAAAAAATCGTTTACTTAAAAAGCACCTGAAAATCAAGTTATTGAGCATATATTGCAGACTGTTACTTGTGAAAGTTTGAATGCTTTTGTCTGTTCCAAGTAAAAGTTAATTTTTTTATTTTATTTAACTATTATTTTTACTTTTGGTAGTGTCTTTTGGAGCTCCAGCGAGAGGCTGTCTTCCTGTGGTCCACAGAGCTGGAGAATGTGGCCACTCTTTGTTTCCGAGCGCTTGAGGGCTCAAACTACGATGTCCGAGTCAGCATCTCAAAGCTGCTTGGCACTTTATTAGCATCAGCACTGGAGCCCAGACAGGCTATAGGTGGGTGGATTTCATTCAGCAGCATCCTCGGAGGACATTGATCATCTTGTCATGAAGATCATAAAAAATCCAAACCTTCCCTCCTCTCCTCTGTTTCCCACATGCCGCTTTTCTTTTTTGCAAATGTAACGCTCATCTTTCTCTCCCACTCCATTCCATCTGTTCTATCATTTATCCCCTTGCGCTGTCTCACTTTCTCTTATACTTCTCTTCTTTTCATTCTTCCTCCCCTGTTCCTCAGCTCCGAGGCCGGGCTCCAAGCGCAGCTCCCTGGAGGAGGTGATGGAGCTTCTGAGCTCTGGTTTCCTGCGGGGTGGAGCTGGCTTCCTGCGGGCCAGTGGAGACATGCTGAAAGGGACCAGCTCAGTCAGCAGAGATGTGCGCGTGGGCATCACACAGGTCGCTCATCCTCTGTTTGTGCCACTGTTTTGATTTATGTCTTGGGTAAAAATGGGAACCGATGAATGTTATATAACACAAAAAATAAATAAATTCTTTATTCATGTACAGAATTTTCCCAAAAATTGACAAATCTGTTATAAAATTTTACATTGAAAAAATTAAATACCACTTAAAAAATGTAGTTTCTTTGGATTTAATTAGACATGTAACGATTCGCAGAGAGCCGCGTGAAAATTGATTCAAATATTTGACTATTCAAATGATTAGAAATGTTGAATGAATCGTGATACATTTTTTGAACAGAGGGGGCACTGTGTTTACAGATGCAAGCTGGCTTTGCAAGCCTCTCCACCTCTTGCTCTACGCCAATGAGTAGGTAGAGTAGAATGACAGTTGTGAAGTGCGCCAAAAAACACCATCTGTGCAAATACTGCGAAAAGACGTTTACTTGCTTTTTAAACAACAACGAATATAAAGCACATAAACCGCCAGCACAGTGAAAAACTACTGCAAAAAAACTATTATTAAGCCAAACCATGCTCTAACAAGTGCTACAAAGATAACACAGTGCATCAGTGTTTTTATAATGAAAGTGTGAAGATGTTTTTCAGACTGAGACAGTTATTCTGTTTTAGAACCATGTATTAGATTATTTGACCCTCTCCTTTTCATATTGGTTTATACCAATTTTATTCATTTGCTTATTATTATTTACTATTTAAAAATGTTCAAGATTATCTCTTCTTAAGTGTATCACACTGATATTTATACTAATTAATTATATAGGTAATGTTAATTATTCACCTTCATAATTAAGTTCATCTCCTGTCTCTATCCTACTGTATAATTAGTAATTTTATAATCAGTTTTTATGCCAATGGCCAGTCCCCCTGGTGCAGAGGGCCTATTGACCATCTCTGCACACACTGCTCTCTGGTTTAGGAAAGGCTTACCTCTCCACACCAGCCATCTCAGTCCTCAGTGGAAGAGATTTTTCAGCTGGGGCGGTTGTAAATGTGCAAAGACTTCAGCTTATGCCAGAAAACATAGATATTCTCATATTTCTTAAAATATGTCAAACCCCAGCACAGTCACAGTTTTAGTTTGTTTATATTAATTAGTCTTCTTTAGTTTGTATTCTTTTTTTTTTATAGTATCGTGAATCGTATCAAATCGTGAGTCGGGTGAATCGTTACATTCCTACATTTAATAGGCATGCTTTTCAGTAAAATTTTAACATTTGTTTTGTTTTTTCTCCGTATTTTAAATAAAATATTAATTAATTTTTTTAATTCTTTAAGAAATGGAGAAATATTTAAATATTTTGCTTAGCTGAGGTTAAAGCATTGGTATTGTTTCATTTAAAATGACCATTAGCATATCTAACAACATGCCACTTTTTTGTTGTTTTAAGCTATTTCCATTTTATGCTCTTAATGACATGATTTGAGAAAATGTCATCAGTGGTCAACAGAAACAACAATTTTTTTCCTCTAATGCATAACTTTTAGAAATATGCATACGTACAATGCACTTTTTAAAACTAGAATTATACAGTAGCTGAAAGAAAGCAGCAGTTAAGAAAGAGTTGATCACATTAATACAAATAAATCTGTTTAATGGCCTATATGCACAGCTAGTGTTTTTTAGCCAATTATGAACTTTTGGTGCAAGATTTATGCGACTACTTTCAATTTTATAAGATTTCTGTTCCAGCATCAATGTTGTAATGTAATTACAACGCCGTCATTAGCAGCATACTGGGGTACAATTAATTTCCTTATTTTAAAGACGCCTCGGGCAAATGGAATTCAATGCAGTGCATCTTGTTTGGTCTGATACACACTTTATATCGTATCTCATTCAGGCAGTGATGATTGCAGTTTTTTGTTTTTTTTTAAGAAATCAGATCTTAACAGCAGCGATATTTAATAATTTTTTTTGGGATGACAATTCACTGGAAGCCCTGGGGCTGGCTGACTGAAAATAAAAGTATCTGCGAATTTACCGCATTCAGCAATTAAGTCTTGTTTATTTTCACAGAACTTTCTCATCAAAAAATATCAGCATTGCTTTTAATTATAACTGTATAGCATGACTGGTTCTTCTACAATGAAGTATTTTTTTATATTTACTTTTTTTTTTTTTGCTGTTATTTTATTTAAAAATACATTTTGTATTAATCCTTTTGGTCTATGATATTAACCTGAATGCCATCGACTTTCTTTTAAACAGACATGTGTGGTGTTTGTGTCTATTCTGGGTGGTGTGTGGCTGGAGACGCACTTCTCCAGACTTCTTTCTCTCCTCATGGAGTGGGCATCTCACACGCGGGCCACACAATACCCAGCAGATGCTGTGTCTTGCCGCTGCTGTGTCTCCTTCATATTGCGGGCCACTCTTGGCACTCTGCTAGGGGAAAAGGCCCAAATTGCCGCTGCCAAGGAGATCTGTCAAGTGATCAGCAAACAGAAGAGGGTTGTGGGTAAGAAACTAGGCCAATATTTAGGTCTCCTTGGGTTGGATATTGAGTCTGGTGTATTAAATGTGTCCCATGTTTCTGTCAGATGCATCTCTTCATGAAGGAAACATGGAAACGCGTGTGAGCCCTGCGGATGTTGCAGCCAGTCAGCATGTGTTGGTGTGTGCCCTGCTGGAGCTGGGCAGTTTGGTACAGGACCTGAGCTCTACTGCTGCTCCATTGTTGCAGGACACTGGAATAGGTTTGTTATGCACTATTGGTCAACAAATAATTTGACCACCCCTTTAAACCTTTTTAAGGCATGTTTAGATGCTGTATGGAGAGTTGCATATATTTACCCCCCTGCATTAAAAAAAAAAGAAAAAGGAAAATACATGGCAAGTAAAATAATGGTTAAAAAATGTGTATTTATTTAACTATTGTATTATTTTACCCTTAAAAGGTTGGGAGTTAATGTAAATAAAAATTTACATAAATGAAAAAGTTAAATAGCTTATTTAGTAAACATTCCACTGACTTAAAATTACCTTAAAAATCTCTAATTTTTTCAAATTATTAAATTGTAGAATTATAATTGTAAAGTTAAATTATAGGTTTCAGTTTCAAATAAAAGCTGTTCTTTAAACCAACTGCTCACCAATGAATGCTGAAAACTATATATTTCCACACATTAACCATAAACATTTCCACATTTTGTTGACTCAACATATTTAAACATTTTTTTACATTGTGACACTGAAAGGTGGAACAATTACATTCATTAAATAACAATTTCAGCTTTCCCGACACTGAAATGAATTGCATTTTAAAATATATTAAAATACTAGTTTTTTTCAATTATTATCATTTAGAAGAGTATTTTCGATAACAGGTGACGCAGTGGCGCAGTAGGTAGTGCTGTCGCCTCACAGCAAGAAGGTCACTGGTTCGAGCCTCGGCTGGGTCAGGTGGTGTTTCTTTGTGGAGTTTGCATGTTCTCCCTGCGTTCGCGTGGGTTTCCTCCGGGTGCTCCGGTTTCCCCCACTGTCCAAACACATACAGTACAGATTAATTGGGTTGGCCAAATTGTCTGTAGTTTATGAGTGTGAATGATAGTGTGTGTGGGTGTTTCCCAGAGATGGGTTGGAATGAGTTGGAATGGCATCTGCTGCTTAAAAATGTGCTGAATAAGTTGGCAGTTCATTCCACTGTGGCGACCCCAGATTAATAAAGGGACTAAGCCGTATTTGTATGGGATAGGATGAATAGGATATTGTAAGTAAAATAAATTGTAAATCAAATAAAATCTAGAAAATAAAAGGCCTTAAAAGATAAATATAAATCTTATATTCATTGTAGTCCACAAGTATTGGCCAATAGGTTTATCAACAGCTGTAATTGTTTTCTCACTTTAGCTGGTATGGACAACAACCTATTTCTAACGCTTTGACTGTCTTTTAAAACATGTTTTAATAGATGTGTCATACTATAGCCTGGATGAAGGAAGATATCTCAAATAGGTGCAGATATTACACATCCATTCAGCTTCAGAATCATCCCAGGAAGAGCTCAGATTGGCATATGTGATTGTGATGACTGATTTCAATTGCTTTTTTTTTTTTCCTGCTAGGAATGTTGGACACCGTGATCTCTGTTCTTCTTCACCCCAGTGCATCTGCTCGTCTGGCCTCCGCCTGGTGCCTACGGTGTATTGCCGTAGGGATGCCAGCTCAGGTGGCGGTGTTGCTAGACCGCTGTGTAGAGAGGCTCAATGCCCTGAAGTCATGCCCAGAGGCCGTGGCAGGATACAGTGCTGCCATCGCTGCTCTGCTGGGGGCCGTACAGCTCTCTCCGCTGGGAATATCACATTCAAAGGGCAAGGTATGTGTTCTTTGCCTAATCTTAAAACAAACAAAGAGTTTGTTCATGCTTTTTTAAATACGTTCACAGTCTGTGTCCTATGCTCAAGACTTGTTCACACAGAAAGTGTTCAGCTGATTCTATTTTACTGGAGGTGTTTTTGTGCAACTGCAATTTCCAATCAGACTCAGTAGCACTGTATGGACTCCCATTAGTAGCTTTCATACTAATTTCTTGTTCGTAAAAGTTGAGCTTGTGAAATACTGTCTAAACATTGAGAAATTAAAACTAAATTAGTTAAGTTTATTGCATCTCATAAAAAATTAACCCTTAAAGGCAAATTTTATCCCTCCACAAACTTAAATTCCTTTATTTTATAGTTGACTTTATTAAAAATATTTTGGACCATTGTGGTAAAAAAAATATTTAGCTGACCGTTTTTCTTATCAGTCACACATAAGTAGTGAATTATGAAAATGTTTTTAGTTTTTTTTTTTTTTTTTGGACTGATCTATCTCTCTCCTTGGAATTCAAAAGAAAAAAAAAACAATGCACCAGTCACTTTGGGCACATGTAAATGTTGTTAGCATCATTCCAGGCATATTTCACATACATAATCAAAACTGATGCATCACTGCTTCCTCTTGGACTGGTTTCAGATGGTGATGACTTTGGCTGAAGATCTGCTGAGATCTGCAGCTCAGAACAGCAGAATCTCCATTCAGCGCACTCAAGGAGGCTGGTTGCTGCTCAGTGCCCTCTCAACACTAGGTATGAGTTTGTGTGCTAGGGGTGGAACAGTGCTCTGGGAAAAAAAAAAAAACAATCCGTTCTGTTATCCTGCTCTCTGACTGTAATATGTTTATATCCCGCACTATTGATGCTTGTTAGCTGCCACGCTCTTTCATGTCTGTGCCTTTAGTCGCTTAATCACTGCAGTTGAAGCAGGTTGTTATGGTGTGTTCTGGCCCAGTGGCATCTGTTCTGTCACATCACGGTTTAACTTTGTTCCTTTATTCAGAGTTTACAGTAACTGTTTAACTCTAAATGTTGCAAACTCATATGACTCAAGTTTTATCATTCTAAAGATCTGTGTTTCTGTCTTTCTCTCTCAGCTACATTTTTTATTACAATTAATCAATAACATAGGACAAAAACAACAAAAGGCAAAATTGTGTGAGTAAGATGGAAATAAAAACTCTAATGCTAAAATTGGATTTAAGAATGATGACATTTACATTGCAATAGGTATTTGTTTGTGTGTGCAGTGTATGCCAAACCAAACTACAAAGCGTACCAGCAGTTTTTGCGAATTGTTCCACCCCTACTGCCTACACATGATCTTCAGTAAACACAAGATGTGTCTATACTGTAGCTTCAAGGAGTTAGTTTCCTGCTTATAGTCCCTTTATTTTGTTATTTTTTTATATTTTATTCAAGGTCCCACTGTAATGGAGCATCACTTGCCTCGATTGCTGTTACTGTGGAAATGTGCCTTCCCGCTGTCTGTAAAGGATGTGGAGATGGAGCTGCGGCGTGGAGACTCTTTCACCTGGCAGGTGACCCTGGAGGGTCGGGCAGGAGCACTGTGTGGTGAGGGTCTCTCAATTATTTTAAGGGAAAATAAGATTTTTTTCATGCACCATACAATCTGTTGATATTTTTTCTTGACATCACAGTAATAATGAAGATTGTTCGCTATTGATTACACATATTTAGGAATAAATATTCGCCATGATTTTTGATCCTCATAGCTTGTGGTCTTCCCTGTAGCAATGAAGAGTCTGGTGGTTCATTGTAAAGAGCTTCTCACTGATGATGTCATCTGTCGCTTTGTTCCTCTCCTGTCCTGTGCGGTGGCCCTACTAACTCAGTAAGTGGATTTTGGTTGCTTAAAATAATAATCAACACCATGAAGTTGGACCTGTTTAAAATGTGGCAAAATAAAATCATAATGTTGACAGATAAATATTTGTGACATTTTTGTCTTTGTCCTCTCTTTATAGGCTGCCGTCTATTATTAAATCTTATGGAAATCAGATAAAAAATGCAGCAACAGTCTTTAAATTAAGATTGTATGAGATCCTCAAGTTGCTTCAACCTAAAATCTATGAAGGTAAGCAGATTTTATAATTCTAAACTTGACTGAACTAAATCGGGCAAGTTCATGACCCATGTCTCTCTGTCTAAAAGAAGCCATTTCTTGCTTTTCACACAGTAAAATTGGAGCTCAAATTGCCACAAATTAATTTATTAAAGGGATAGTTCACCTAAAAATTTTAATTATGTCATCATTTACTTACCCTTTACTTGTTCAAAACTTATTTGAGTTTATCTCTTCTGTTTAGCACAACATAAGATATTTAAAAAATGCTGGTTGCTGCCCATTGACTTCTGTAGTATTTTTATTTTTACTTTGGATGTCAATAGGTACCAGAAATCATTATTTTTCAAAATAATAAAGGTTTATAATAAATAATAATAAATAACTCATAAAGGTTTAAAATTACATGAGAGAGAGACTGATAGGAGAATGAACTAACCCTTAAGTATAAAAATTTGTGTTTTGTTACCACAAAATATAATGGTTCCCAATCAGAGGGTAACAACAAACAAAAACATTCAAAACATGAGGACTGAAATAGTTTTTCTTCTTTCTCCTGGTTTAATATGGCAGCACTCAAAAATCTGTTAACAAAAGTAATTAAATAGTTACAGCAGAAATCTTTGAGAAATAAATATCTTTTAACTATTTTGTTGGACAGTAAAGGGCTTGAGGTCAGTGAGGGTTTGGCAGTACATTTTCTCTGACATATGAGTGTTCTTTACCCTGCTGCTCTGATACTGTCATTTTAATCATGCTTTAGATTTTTAGAGAGCTGTTTAGGATTCTCATTTTTTTTATATCTTGAAATCTCATATAGAAAATGAACATTTTGATTGGCCAAATATGTATGTATTTGTTTATTGTGTTTTGATTGTGTTGGCTCAGAGAGTTTTGGCACAGTTCTAAAGCAGCTGCTGAATGATCTGACCGGGCCAGAAATCACAGCATGTGCTGAGCGGAACCTGCTGCCCTCCCTGTGCTACAGCCAAGACCTTGCTCTGCTGGGTCCCGGACTGCAGGATATGGATCAGCGCTATATAGAAGAGCAGGTCAGGCAGCAGTCTAATCATCAGGAAAATAGCCTTGTTAATGTGTAGTCAGTGTCATTGATCCATGTCCTATTCAGTACGACTTTCGTATTTAATCTCACTGTATTTTCTGTCTGTGTGAAGCTGCATGGAGGTGGTTCAGGAGGTGGGACACTAGAATATGACTCATTTACCATCTTTGAGAAATCTCAGGAGGTTCCTACTCCGCTCCCTCCAGCCTCAGCTCTAACAGTGGCTGCTGTCCAGCTGTTTGGAGTGATTTTTCCCCACCTGAGTGTCCAGCAGAGGTATTTCCTTCATCAGCACAGTGAGATCTGTTTAAAAGTTTAGTTGACACAAAATTGAAGTTTTGGTCATTAATTTCTAACTAACTAAGCTTTCATTAATCTCCACTGTCGAAAATAAGATATATTGCATGAAATCCAAGAGATCCTTCATCCTCCATAGGCCACAATGGTCCTGACTCGTGCGGAAGAAACAGCTAAATAAAGTCGCGTTTTTAGTTTTATGTGTTTACAAAAATATTCTCGTAACTTGATAACATTTCAATTATACCACTGCAGGCTTGTGGTCTGTTTTGAGGTTGTTTTTTGGACTTTGAGCATGTAAGGTCAGTTGCTTTCTATAGAGAAGTTTTCAGATTTCACCACAAATGCCATGATCTGTTTTTCAAAGCCCAACATAGGACTCAGAGGTTTGGAATAACATAATGATGTGTAATTAATTGCACAATATTAATTTTTAGGTGAACTAATCCTAGTGTGGTGTGGTTATTTATTTGTATGATGACACTCTTAGTAAGAGGCCTTTTAGTTGAGTTCGTTTGAGAGAATCTTGATGTTGCTAAATACTTGTAGGTTCGTTTAGGGACTTTATTTAGGACCTTTATGCTAGCAGTACACCTTTACTTTCACATATAAGTTAACCAGTAACACTTGTAAATAATGAAACTTAAGACTTGCCAGTTAAATTGGGTATCTGGGAAATGTTTTGTTTTCCAAGTGATGCATCCCACTTTGTAAATTATGTATGCAGTTTGTTTGTTTTATGATACAGTCACTGGAATGTTGGATATACTAATGTTAACCAACATTAGTGTTTAAAGTTATTCAGATTGTTGGAAGTAGCTGATATTGTTACTGATAGTGAATCCTTTTGGGAACTGACCCTAATGAGAGCCAGAGGCTTTTGAAGTGCTTTCTTATGCAGCATAGCCAAATTTACATCCAGACATCTGCATGCATTTGCATAATTGGGGGCTGCTCTTGCCATGTCACATGCATTATTAAACACCAGTGGAAAGGGAAATGATACTGATCATATGGGGCCATCGCCCTTCAGTGCATCTTTTTTCCTGCTAACAGCTTGTCTAAAGGATTTTTTTAAAAGTTGGAAAACATAACAACAGATGAATTGTCGCCTTTTACAGTTGTTTTCTAGGGTTTTTTGTATATATGTATTAATATATGTATTTTATATTTAATATATGTAATATGTCAAATTCATAGTGACAATATTGTCAAATAGATATATTTTAAAGTAGTCATGCATTTTCTGTGTTCTATCTTATTTTAAGGGCTCAGGTCCTGGAGCAGTTTTGTGAATTTGTGCGACAGCTTAAAGGAGCTCGGCAGCAAACAGTCCAAATACACGTAACTGCTGCTTTCTTTTGCACTTTGAAGGTATGAAGCATTTTAACCATTTTAGGCATCTTTAACCAGTGCATTCATGCCATATAAAGCCTCTTTGTTTCTCTTTCCCGTTCTTCCTGTTGTGCTTTGTAGAGTTTGGCATCAAGTCGGAGCGAATTGGGGCCAGAGGAGGTCCAAAGACCAGCATTGTCTCTCCTGTTGGGGGCGTTGGAGGGCTCAAACCCTCTACTGCGCTGCATGGCTGCAGAGGGTTTAGCAAGGCTGGTGCAAGTTCTTAATGACCCCGGCTTCACAGTTTCCCTCACTCTCATGAGCTTTGACAAGTGAGTGGATTACAAAATCACTTTATTAAACAAACACTTAATATGGATCATCTGAACTGAATGTAAATGTATTCCAGACTGAAGACAGCAAGGGATGCCATCACACGCACAGGCCATGCCTTGGCCCTCGGAACGGTTTACCGTTATCTTGGTGGGATTAGCTCCCCTCAGTACCTCAGTGCCTGTGTTGGGGTTCTTTTTACCCTGTCCCAGGATAATACCTCACCAGAAGTAAAGGTACTTATATTATATATATATATATACACAGGAAATCTAATCATCCATATGTTAAAAACATAAACATGCTAGTGCTTTGTTGTAAACAACACAGACCTGTCGCATTGTAATATCAACTTTTTATAAGTGCAACTACATGTTTACAGTGCTCAGCACAATTGAGTATACCCCATTTTGAAAATGAATATGTTTATCCAATTCTCAGTGAATATAAGCAATGTATTTTGTTGCATTTAAACAAAACCAATTTATTAAACAGATATATTTATTAAAATAATATTTTAGTCACCAAACATATTTAGAAATTGTAAGACAATACTATTAAGTTCTAGCAAAATATTGCAAAAAAAAAAAATTGCAACTTACAAAAATTCAACAATATTTCAATTTTTTTTGCTTCAATTGATTTTTTTCTCCTTATAAGTTTATAAGTTATAAACTCTCCTATAAATTTGTCTTTAATGTTTTTCTATAACATATAAATTTGGTTGTACTATGTTTTAGACCGTTATCATAATTTATTTTGTTTAATAAGCTCCAGGTTTGGCTTCAGTACAGACTAATCTAATGTATATATGCACAAATTTAATGTTGTATAGCTTCCTATTTAAATAAGAATTTAAAAGATAGATTTGTGAGGGGCGTACTTTTATATATGCTAAGCACTGTAAATGTTCTAGAATATGCTAAGCTTGCTAAAACATGATTAAAATGCTAGCATTTTGTTTCGGACATTATAAAAGGGCGAAAATAAAATTAAAACATGCTAGCACTTCATAAAACTTGCTTGTCTGTTTGTTGAAAAATGTTAAACAAGACAAACTTTATTTGTATATTAACTAAGTTTTATTATTTTCTGACATTTCAGTGTGAACGAGCAACTTATGCTTGAATCTAGAATGAACAGAGAATGTTTTGACGCAGATTGCAGTTTTTTTTTTTTTTTTTAATGCATTAATCTTTCAGTGAACTTTGTGTGCAGATGTGGGCTCTTCATGCTCTGTCCACTGTGGTGGACCTAGCAGGTCCTTTGTACCACAGTCACCTGGAGGCCAGCTTCACTCTGGTGCTGCGTTTGCTCCTCTCTACCCCACACACACACATGGAGGTGCAGCAAAGCCTGGGCCGCTGTCTTAACGCCCTCATCACCTCTGTGGGGCCGGATCTGCAAGGTGCATAACACACATTTATTTACCCATAAACAAACTCAAGCACTTTGTCATCAAGCAGGTGAGACCTTTAAACTCTCATATCTTTTTGGTTGTTTCCTGTAAACTATCTCCAGGTGAGGGTGCAGGTGTGTGTGCGGTGAGGACCTCGTGTTTGGTGGGCTGTGCTGTGATGCAGGATAGCCAGGACTGTTTAGTCCAGGCTCAGGCCATCTCTTGCCTCCAGCAGCTGCACATGTTTGCGCCACGCTTCGTCAATCTGTCCAGCCTTGTGCCAAGTCTCTGTGTATGTGATCAATGCACTGAACACCCACAGTCATACACAACAACACACATTAAACTTAACAGATCTGATACCACAAATACAGTAAACTTCGTAAGGTTGTTGGGCTATAACGTTGTTTTTTTCCTGCTCCAGCAGATTTGTTTAGGTAAGCAGAAAAGTAGTTTTCAAGGAGTAAAAAAATGCTTTTTTTCTATTATTATATATATATATATATATATATATATATATATATATATATATATATATATATATATATATATATATATATTATTTTATTTTTATATTATTATATTAGTATATATTTGTTTTGAGGCAGACTTAATTTAAATTATAAATGTTTATATCTAATAATTTAGGTATAATAATTAATAAATTAAATAAATTATATATAATAATTAACTGATTTGAGGTAAAAGAAAAAAAAAAGAAATCTGTAGTATCAGCCAGTTAGTGATTATTGTTTTAGATTCCACTGATATCACTGCTAATAGCCAATAAATGTATTAATACAGAGTTCTGTTTTGAAACTCTATAAGTAGGGATGCTCCGATCAAGATTTTGGCAGCTGATACAAAGTATCGATTGCTTGTCATGGTGATCGGCCAATACCGAGAACTGATTTTGATGCTCTGAGCACATTTTCCCTCTAAGTGTGATACTCAAGTGGAGATCTCTCCTTACCTAAGAGAATAGATGAAGGATGCTTCATATAATCCCTTAAACATGTCTCTTAAAACCATTTACAGGGGTGATAGCGTTCCGGCACCACGCCGGATTTCCGGCGTACTGTGGCTGCGGGGAAAAAAAATCAGGTTCACGGATATTGATCTGTCATTTCTCTAGATTCACAGAATTGGTTTTTATTAAGTGCCATTTTGTGTGCTCGTGAATCATCTTTTGAGTGTAGACGCCATGTAAATAAAAGATTAATTGTGTAATTTGAGCTTTATAAATTATAACGGATCTTTGTGAGATCTCTATGAACTAAGATTAGTGACGCTTTTTAGTGATAATAAGAGGAGCGTGCTTTGCACTTTCCAGGCTATAATCCATTCAGAATTTGTATGAAACTTTCGTTTTCGGCACATATACGCTGAAATGTTTTGGGAATGACATCTGCATATTTACGCTGGGTTTATTCTCGAAATAACGGTGAAGCAATAGACGGGACAAAAATATATTTCCCCCTTCTCCTTAATTAACTTAGTGTTTCAGCTATGAAATAGTTCAGTTTTGTATGTAACCTAATGGCAAAGTGTTTATATTTAGTTTCGTTTTTTATTCAGCTTATTTAGAAAAACGTTTGGAGCAGTTTTTATTCGTTAAAAATAAGTTTTTTTTTTTAACGAACAGCGCCCAGCGGAAGACCATCATTGCCTGTTTGATCAGTTTGCCTTCTCAGATCATCACGACTTGCCTAAAATAAAAGATATAAAACAGTTCAAGTATAAAACAATGGTAGCTTAAACGTTAAAGAATGTGTGCTATTAGGCGCATAGTTTGCTTATAAAAAGCTTGCAGGCATCGAGGCGCCAGAGCAATCACTTGCATTTTTCCAGTGGGAGCAATTTAAAGTTATCCGTCATTTTTGCTCACAAAGTACGAGTAATACATCAAAAAACGTTACAGCGTTTTATAAAATAAAGAAAACCAAAATTATGCGCTTTCTGTCGTCTGGTTTTTGAACAGGAGCGCTTAACAAAATGAAGCAAAATATGCCTCACAGACATAATACAGGGCTCGAAATTGCGACCATTTTGGTCGCATATGCGCCCGAAAATTAATCTATGCGACCTCATAATATATCTGGGAGCATTAGTGCGACTGCAGATAATGGTTGTAGTGCGACCTGTTTTGATTTTTTGTAAAAACGTGCTGAATCGCTCTTCCCTGCCGCTATATTGGTTCATATTAGCTGTCAATCATTCAAGGTATTCCGCTGTCAGATGACAGGGAAGGAGCTTTTATGACCACGGGAAATACAAACGGCTGAAGAGTAAAAACTTAAAGCACACAGGTTTGCAAACCCCACCTAAAGTTGAGGCGCAGATGAGAGCGATCATGACACGTCACGTGGTGAATAATGATCCGCCAGCTGAGATCAATCGAGTACGCGCTTCTTGGAGAAGGTGCCCGAATCTCCATGCGTTGCATTCACTGCGTGTTCAGCGCAAATGTCCGCTAAAAGTCAAATCTAATACTGTACATATCATCGCCAAAGAAGCTCGCCTTTACTAAATTTACACTGAAACTGCGGCTCATCATAACAAACAGCGGTTTTGCGCCGGTGGTCACAGCAAGAATCCTGCTCAACCTGCTCATAAATTGGGTCGGCTGAATCGCCAGCTTTCCACTAACACAGAAAAATAAAGATCAGCTCAGACTGAACCTTTAAATTGACACAAACTAAAACCAAAACTTTTAAAGAGTGATAGAAGTGAGACTTTACTTACTTTTTTTTTCGTCTATTCTTTTTTGAGGTGTATATTATTTTTTATTTATTTACTGATGACTGCTTTGCAGCTTTCAGCATTGAATTGAATTATTTATTATAATCTTTTATTCGTTTTGTAGCAGAAAAAATATTTATTAAATTGACATGCATATAAAAACAGCACAAAATAAATATTTCTTACTGCAATGCTTCATTTTTGTTTGATGCAAACTATACATTTATTTTTCATAAAGTAACAGACTTTTTATAGCAGATATTCATGCACGTTCAAGGCAGTTCATTGTTACTATTATTGTCATTTTCATTATCATTGATATTCTATAATTATTAGACATTCATTTTGAAATTATTGCACACAAATATCAAGTCATCACAGCATTAGTTAGTTGTTTCTGGTTTTTGTTAGTCCTATTGATGTTGTTTTAAAATACAATAAATACCTTAAAAAACTATTTGCAGCGGTGCTCATTCATTTTGGTGGGTGCTCCTAAATTTTTTTTGTTTGGTGCTCCTAAATATTTGAAGTTGGGAGCACCGGTGCTACCAAGTAAAAAAGTTAATTTCGAGCCCTGTAATAAATATATTTATAGAAAGCTTTAAATTATTACTTAACGAAATAAAACAAATCGAAAACAAAAAAACTCCTTCATGTAATCCGTAAAGATGAATTTCTCTCTAAAGGCGAGTCCAAGAGGAGATTGCCAGTCAGGATCTTTGCGACACTGACTCAGAATAAGTTTATTAATAAATAATTAAGATATGTCCTTACTCTTTCCTCGACACATTCATTGTTATTTGTTTTTGCCGGTGCTTGGGGCGAGTTTTAGCTTATTGTGTGCGCTTGAACGCGGATTCACAGTAGCAGTTTTAACATGGAGTGACACGACATTTGACGTACAGATGACACTGCCACATGCCACTGAGTGTAGTGACACTTCCGGTGGCACGTCCGGTTTTCCACTGTCATGTGTCACTCGCTAGTGGCATGTGTAGTGACCTGTGTCACTCAGAGTGTCGCGCTGCATGTCACTGCAGTGACATCGACACCCGGCGAAGCTTATGACATTAATTAACACGAGCAAAACTATATTTAATCATTACGCGACTTTTAACCTAATTTATCGCGTCGCAAGTTAGTTTATTTGCTGAGCTACTCCACGATGTTTTAATTTAAACGCATTTATTTTATGTATTCGTAGTCATACTTCCGTACGTAATGTAGTCATTTGACAGTACATGTCAGTCAAATTTATTGTGGCATGCTTATGTATGGGAGGGGTTACACTTATCTGTTGTACTGTATATTATTGCATCCTGGCAGTTCCTTTGTTCCCTACAATATGGACTTCTCTATGTTTTTAATTCATTAATTTATTTTATTATTTAACTTATTTTCATTTTAAGGTATTTTAAATAATATCCTTTAAAAAGTTATAATAAAATGCATGTTGAAAACTCATAACATATATGCATGTAAGATAACAAGTGTCATTTGCCTAATGATTTTTAAATATTAAAGCAAAGAGACTTATAAGATTAATGTGCTTATAACGTGCTTATACTGACACCTACTGGCACATGTCACAAGATCACTGACACTGGCATGTGTCACTGACATTACTGGCATGTGTCTAAAAAGAGCCACTTGACAATAATGATGATCAGGGTTACACATAGGCTGTTAATATATTTGGGCCCAGGGGCCCACAAGTTATGTGTTAAAAGTGCGTTGCATACATAATACACCCACCCCTACTCACCTCAGGGGCAAGGAAAAAAAGTTCAGGCTCAGGAATTTTTTCCACTATCAGCCCTGCATTTAGTGTGGACATGTTATAACCAGAAGTAGCTTTACAGAAAATAACATAACACAGATATAATAAATGGTTCCTCTGCTTGTAAACTCAAACAAACCACTGTGATCGGTTCATGATTTTGACAAGTACCGATCAAGTCATTAAATGTTATTATCGGCCGATACTGGTCTTTAGCCGAACGATCGAAGCATCCTCATCTATTGGCCTTGCAGGCTGATTATTTCAATCTGCTTTGGACAACATTATCTACTCATGCCGCAGGTGATTGCTTGCTTTTTGCTTAACAACCAATAAGCTAGCTCGTCAACATTTTAAATATCTCAGTGTCATTTTCGTTTTCATTAATTATATTTAGATCTAACTGGTCTATATGTTTTATATTATTATGTAATATATAATCAGCCAATAATACTTTTATTTGAAAAATGTCATGTCATCGGTAGACCCATATGGAATCTGTGCGTGCAGAAATCTGCAGATTTCCTCATATTTTTAGCCCATCGAGCTGTCATTTTTAGCAAATTTATATTAATTCAGTTTTTAAATTGATTTTAGAAATATTATTGACTAATATGAAAGTGTTCATGTGATTTATTTACAATACAGTTTTTAAAGTAATATTTTCTGCTTTTTAGTAGATATATTATATGAGAAACTTGCTTTGTTAACCAAATAAGTGAATCTAGATGGGTCTGCATTGTAGACATTAAATTAAAGTTAAAAAGGCAATATTTTTTATTTCATATATTAAGTCTTTAGTTATGATACTCTCAAAAAAATTCTGCATAAATCTGCAGATTTTTACAAAATTCTCAGCAGATATAGCAAAAAATGTCCACACTAAATTAACAGTGGCTTACCAAACAAATTCACATTTATTTATTTTGTATAAAATATACTTTACTTTTCCAATAAGAGTGGACATGCCTGTTTTAACTTAAATGTGTTGACACTTCCAGTATCATTTACTTTCTTTCATTTCATTACCTTTTCTATTACAGTAGTCATTTACCTATAGTGACTGTTGAATCGTTAATAACGCTTTCACACAAAGTATTGCCAAATAGCTTGGATAGAATGAAAATGTTAGAGGTGAGTGCATGCAGGCTTTGGGTTTCCCTCATCTGTAGTAACAGTGCTGTTTTCTGTTCTCTCGTACAGGAGATCTTGTTGGATTATTCTGTGTTGGTAGGTTTTGTCTGCCTCTCTGCTGCCAGGCCACTTTATACCCTTTCTTTTGTTTGCACTTCATCTCTCCCTCTCTCAATCTATAAATATGCTCTCTTGTCCTCTTCTCATTTTCCCCCAGTGTGAAACTAACTCGGGCAGGATCTGGTTTTGAGCATGAGCACACAGTGTCACTGCCTCTAACTGCAGGGTTAATGCCAAGGGTTAGATTTGCTTGACTTGGTTCTTTCTCTATTGACTTCTTACACTGACCACCCACACAGTGCACATGACATTCTCATCCACAGCTGAGGCCTTATGCCAATCCACTCTATTAGCTTTAATACTTGGAGTGCTTTAGTCCCTCACACACACACACACATACACACAGATTTAGACAATATTAGACCGTAATTGAGAAAAACACGCTTTGTTCTTCATGCTCTATTTTTAGGTGGTTTGATTTATGGTCCTATTCTTTGCAAACAGCTCGCTTGTCACATCAGTTAAAACTCAAAACAAGCCTTGACAGTAGCCCTGTTGTCCCTTTCTCCTATCCCTATGTCTTTTTCTACACTAAAAAACATTTCCATGGGATCGTTTTGACATACCAGGACTAACCTTGATGTGGCTGCAGGTGTCTGCTAAAGTGTTTTTCCCCCTTGTTTCTGTATTATGTTGTTTGAAATGTGATGAAGTGAACATCACATTTGAAGTGTCCTCTAATTCATTCCCTTGTCTGATTTATTATGTGTGTATAACATGCATTATAGGGGTGCGTCATATGATCTCTTCCTCAATCATATGAACTGTTCGTCACAGTAGATTCACTGCTACTCATTAGTTTGACCATACTAATGTTTGTAGCATTGCTCAGCCTGGAATTAAAATTTCCTGTTAATTTACTATCTTTTGAGCTATTAAAAATGTAGGTGACTTTTTTTAGTTGTTGTTCTGCAGTAGAATATGTTTAGCTTAAAATGTGGTGCTTGGTGATTCATATCATGCAATTTAATGGAAAACCACAGTAAGTCAAATAACATACACTGGCAAAACAAACATAATACCCATGGCGGTGGATGATGCATGAAGGTGTTGTAAAATAAAATAACAGGTCTGTTAAAAAAAAAACCTAAAGCTTATTTACAGCGTTATTACCTGTTATTCACAGCCTCAGGCAAATAATCTAGAACAGCGGTTCTCAAACTTTTTTCAACAAGTACCACCTCAGAAAAAAAAGGTCTCTCCAAGTACCACTATAATGACCAGGAATAAAATACAGTAGAGTAGCAGGCCTAATTAAGCAATGACATGAAATAATGAAATCTAAACATTAACTTGTCTATTAAATACACGAGTTTGATCATATATTTAAATTCGAAATTAGATCTGCTTACTGCACGCTAGAGTAGGCTTTGTGTGTCGGAAAAGCCTTTAATTAAACCATAATTAAACCATACCTGGGATATAAAAATACAGGATACACCCCCAACAATCGTTACAAATATGGGGAAAAGATTAGCTTCAAATGATAGAATACATAACAAACAGTGGAAATTTTAAAATAAAATAAAACGTTTACCTTATTAAAATCAATTTACTGATCACATTGAGGTTATGCGTCAAAGGGTTAAAAGTGTGTTCTTTTTTTACTTTAATTATTCATCGATTCTTCCCGCGTACCACTAGAAGGAAGTATGTGTACCACTAGTGGTACACGTACCACAGTTTGAGAACCACTGATCTAGAATGACGTCTGGTTCACCAAGAAATCCTTTTTAATGAGTCTTGATGAAACAGGCTGAAATGTCTGCAATGGTTTGAGTGTTACTTAAAAGAGTTTTAGACATGCTCTAAACTGACTTTTTTACTTGTTAATCCAATTGAGACCTAACTGAGAAAACAGCACCAAAGAACTGATGCGCCAGTGACTTTTTGAATGTGCAAAATTAAAGAGTTATGTCACTCCAAAAAAACTGTTAATTACTCACCCTCACGCCGTTCCAATCTCCTGAAACCTTCGTTCTTTTTAGGAACATACTAATTATTTTAGAGCTCTATCATCCTCCATATTCTTCATAGACTTCCAGAAAAGGACAAAAACTGTCAAATCAAGACTTCAACTGTAATCATATGAAGCTCAAAGAACACTTTTGTGCACCGAAAACATCTTTGTATGCCAGTGTCTTCCATATTATATCAGGGTGCATGTTTACTATGCGTAATATGATGCTTCTGTGTTACGCTGCTGACTTTAATGGCACAATATTGTACTGGCCATAGTAAATGCACACCCTGATGATGATCTGACACGGGAAAAAGGATATAGGTTAATAAAGCCATGTTTACTGGCTTTTTTTTTGGCTCACAATTTTTTGAGGGGAACCTCTAAGGTCACATGGAATGTTTTGAAAATATTTTTGGTTTCTTTTCTGCACTTTGAATGTCTTGTGATCACTTTCTATGGAGGAAGATGGAGCTGTTGGATTTCCTCTAAAATATCTCAGCTTGTGAAGATGAACAAATGTCTTAGGGGATTTGAATGACATGAGGGTTAATAATTAATAACAAAATGAAAATGTTTGGGTGAACTAACCCTTTTTTGCATCTAATCTTAAGTACTGTTTAAATACTGTTTCAGTCAAAACATAACTTCTATTTGCAGAAGAAAAAAAGTCCCCTACACTTGTTAAAGAAGTTGACACCAAATTGGAATTTTTGGCTAAAACATCCCATTAAAATCTGTCATATTCAATCCCAAATATGTTTTGGTGTATGTGCAGATAAATCTGTGCAGCTCATACCTGTCTCTGCGGCGAGCGGTTGTGGCCTGTTTAAGACAGCTGGCTCAGAGAGAGGCAGTGGAGGTATCGGAACACGCAGTGGCTCTGGTTAAAGAGCTTCCCCGCAGAGACAACACACAGCTGGGTGAGTCAGCATCACCCACACTGCACAGCACAGCACATCACTTATCTCAGCTTATTTTACTCTACTCTGCATTTTGAGGTGAGTTTGACCGCAGCGAGCAAGCCATGGGTTATTTTTGGACCTGGAATTTTGTTTTGAACCTTGGCAGCAAATATGATTTAGTCATCAAAATACACTGCTGTTTGATGTTTTGGTGTCAATAAAAGATAAAGGTAGAAAGGTAGCATTAAACTAATAAACAAAATAATATCTTAAATAAATCCTGTTCTTTTGAACTTTTTGAAACATCAGTGAATTTTAAATGTTAAAATAATGTATTTGGTTTCAACAAAGATGTTTTGAATAATTTTTTTCAAAAGCTAGAATTTTTGTTCCTCAAAAAATCATGTGACATGAAAAACTAGTATTAACTATCCTTCTAAATCTATGAGAATAGAGATTCAAACCACAGCTATAATAACAACAGTAATAAATGTTATTTATAATAATAAAAATATATTCTTCATTATTTGTATATTTATTATAATTCTTATTATATGAGTATGAATATAATATAATAATAAATAGAGAAATATAGAATTTAAAAAACTTTCAAAAAATATTTTTTCCTGCTTATGAATAATAATAAAAAAAACTTTGACAGCCTATCAGAATCCATTCTGCTTCAAAAAAGCATCAACACAAAAACAAAGATTTAAAGAGGCAGACAAAATGGCGGCTTGTGCTTATAATACACAGACCATAGTTTTTTGTAAGTGATGATAATGTAATTATGTATTTATATAGCGCATTTATTTTCTATGGCCGAATACCCAAAGCGCTTCACAATCATGAGCGGGTCTCTCCACTCAACCACCAGTGTGCAGCATCCACTTGGATGATGTGACTGCAGCTACAGGACAATGACGCCAGGGCACTCACCACACACCCAGCTATTGGTTGAGGGTAGAGACGTAATGGAGCTAATTCAGTGGATGGGGATGATTGGGAGGCCATGATGGGTAAGGGCCCAGGAAGAGTATTTACTCAGGAGACCGGTGTTACACCCTTACACCCCTACGAGAAGTGCCATGGGATTTAAAATCACCACAGAGGGTCAGGATCTCAGTTTAACATCTCACCTGAAAGACAGCGATCCCTAACAGTACAGTGTCCCCTTCACTATACTGGGGCATTAAGTCTCACTCAGACGGCAGGTTAATTGCCCCCTGCTGGCCTCACTAACACCACTTCAAATGGTTGTTATTATTTTTGTAGTTATTTTCATGACTTTTCAAATTCAATTTTGCTATCACAGGAATAAAAGACATCTTGCAGTATATTTTAATTAATGTTACTGGATTTTCAAAAGTTTTTTTTTACAGAAAGAACAAAGGCATTTATAATTAGTTAACCATACTTAGTTAAAATGTATGTCTTTTTATAGCACATTTCACAATGTAGATTGTGTCAAAGCTGCTTTACATGGTTGAGCAGAAAAAATTGAAAAAAAAAGCCATGAAAGTTTCAGGTTATTGAACATATTCAGCATCAGGCAGGCAGCAGAGTAATGGTGTTGTTCTAGTCAGATTAAAACTCCTTCAGTTTAGTTTAATATGAATGTCAGTGTTGAATGATGATCCACTTGAACAGCAACTCCTTAGGATGTCCTTCATGTGAAATAATCGCTGTCTGTCCTGCAGATGTCACTATTAAGGAGGTGGGCTTGGAGGGAGCTTTGTTCAGTCTCCTGGACAGGGAGTCGGATCCCCGCCTGTGCAGAGACATTCAGGAAACACTGGTCCATATGATGAGTTCAGCAGCTGAGAGTAAGCTGGCCCACTGGCTGAAGCTCTGCAAAGATGTACTGTCCGCTTCTGCAGGTGAAACATCTGTGTTGCTACCTGTTTAAAGATTGTTTTTTTACATAACATATTATTACAATACAAAAACAATTACATAAAAAAAATTATATTATACATTTATTATCTTGTAAATATTCAGTAATTAACATTTCTGATTTTTTTATTTCATTGTGTAAAACTTTTTATTACTGTATATTTATAGATAGATAGATAGATAGATAGATAGATAGATAGATAGATAGATAGATAGATAGATAGATAGATAGATAGATAGACGGAAAGATGTATTCAATTTGCAGGATAAATGTTTCAGTGTGCATGTATCAGTATGCAAATGTGTTTTTTGCCAAACATTTCCACAAACCCCAAGCATATCATTATTATATCATTATTGTATAGATGTTTAATTTAGTGTGAATTTAGTTTGTTTGTTTGTTTATTTATTTATTTATTTTTTTATAATTTTTTAGACTCCGCTGCAGCCGCCTCTGTAGAAACCCAGCAAGAGGAGGATGGAGATCGATATGATGACTCCTCTGCATTCCATGCAAAATCTGAGTCCAGCGGGCCCTTCAATAACCTGCGCTGGTCCACTCGTGTGTTTTCTATGGAGTGTGTGTGTCGCATAATAGCACAGTGTGAGAACAGAGACTCAGCTCACTTTAACATGGCACTTGCTCAAGAGCAGCGTTTACATGAGTCCACAGGTTAGACCATTCATAGTTTTCTTCTCTATTACTCTATATTCTGTGATATCTTTTCTGATGTGTTTAATGAATCACAGGATCTTAGCGCCACCTTTTGGGGTGATGTATATATTTTTGTTAAGACAGTTAATACTGGCAACCCGTTGTTTGGCAGATTTCCTGGTTCTTCACTTGGCGGATCTGATCCGCATGGCGTTCATGGCATCCACAGACCACAGTGACCAGCTCCGACTGGCTGGTTTGCAAACGCTTCTGGTCATTATTCGTAAATTCTCCAATGTACCAGAGCCTGAGTTCCCTGGGCATGTCATTCTGGAGCAGTATCAAGCCAATGTGAGTCTTAAAGTCATCTTTATAAGCGCAAAGTAGTGATGAAAGTGAAAAACAATGATAAACTTTGATTGAGGAATGTCCTAAATATTATTAAACTTCATAGCAAAGGATCAGACTCTAACATATTAGCAAGACATAAGGTGATAAGATTCCAGTGTCAAAAGTAATTTGGTTGTCCACATCTAATGCGACACAACAGAATAATTTAAATATCACAGAAATTTAGGAGGTTAGAATAGATGTAACAACCTTTCCCAACAAAATTGACAGGTTTAATAAATATTAAACCTCATCAATGTTATTAAAAGCATACAGTATGCTGAGTGACTGATGTTGGTTTGCACAATTTGAATGTTCATACTTAAATTGTATGTTTGCTAGTTTTTTTTTTATTCGAGGTAAATTACTGCTGCTGCTTTCAGTATGGTAATATATGTCACAAATTATATTAAAACCTATACATTTAACAATTAACACTGAATAAATATATAATCAACAGCTGAGATGATCATATTCATATTAGTTTATACTGTTGTTTAGCTAATATGTCGCAGAAATAGAAACCATTTTTAAAATATAAACAGCTTTTTGCATTGCTTCAATGGATGGTTAGGACCTTTTATCACATGTGGAAGTGTCGTGGTGTGTGTTGTTAGGACTGCATTGTAAAGACATTGTAGCTTTTTTGCTCAAAATTATTGTATAAATATTTGGTTTTCAACTGAAGGAAAAAGTGCTAATTTGATGCATTTAGATGAGGGAAATTAGCACATTTGTGCATATAGTCATCATTTCATGAAAAAAAGAATATTTTATCTTGTATTATAACAAAAAAAAATCTTAGATGGGTTCTATTGTTTTTCTACAATTTAAAGGGATAGTTCTTCCAAAATCACAATTTACTTACCAAACATTTCTAAGTTTCTTATGTCCACAAAAGAAGATGTTTTGGAGAATGTTAAAAACCAGTAGCCATTGGCTTCTATTGTAAGAAAAAAATTATTTGGAAGTCTGGCTGGTTTCCAATATTTTTCAGAATATCTTCTCCTGTGTTCAATAGGTAAAAGAAACTCAAACAGGTTTGGAACAAGTGAAGGGTGAATAAATGATGACAGAATTGTCATTAGTGCGTGAAATGTCACTTTAAGGGCTTAAAAAGATTTCTCAAAAGAATGAGTCTAAAATTATAAAGTCTAGATTGCTATACTAGAGGTAGAGAATTTATTTATTTTTTTTTTTTAAACTGTATGTTCAGAGTTGTACAGTAAAGCTCTTTGCTGTTATTCTTAGACACTGGAGAAAGACATGAGCACGTCCGTCAGTCTCTTGTTACTGTGCGCGTGTGCATGTGTTAGCTCGTGTGTGAGGGCCCCTATCATTTACACTAAATTAGGTTATCTGTAGGCTTAGCAGGGGGCCCTAGTATCAAATAGTGACGTGAAACATCTTTAGCGTTGTGTGCTAGACAGTTCTAAGCTAATATTTAATAGGCTTTACCAGACGAGTAAAAAACTCATTTAAGCATTAACTTTTAAATGTTTATTAAAGAATAATTAAGGTTCTTGATAAGAAATGTAACACATTTTTTGTGTTTAATATGTACTGATCTTTGTTTGATGTAGGTTGGAGCTGCGCTTAGACCTGCCTTCCATGTGGACGCTCCTCCAAACGTGACCGCCAAAGCTTGCCAGGTGTGCTGCTTAAGTAGCATAATTATCTATAATCATGCACTTTTTCTTCCTCTTCTTCCTTTTACCCACACAATGTTATTAAAAGTATCATGTGGCCCAGCAAACTGTTTAACTCTAAAGTCAAGCATGTTGTCATTCACATTACTAAACCAAGCATCCCAACTATGTTGTTTCTGTAGTGCCCAAAGCAACCCCTTACACTGTTTTCCAACCTCCTGAACTTACTTTAAACTAGTTTTAAAATGCCCCGAGTTCATGGTTGTTATCTTGACTTAGTTTGTTCCCCATAAACCTGCTCCAGTGGTGTTGAGTTTTGACATGACCCATTGTTGACCTTCAGGTCTGCAGTGCATGGATCGCCAGTGGGGTCATCAGTGACCTGCGGGACCTGAGAAGGGTACATCAACTTTTGGCATCCTCTCTGGCCAAAGTGCAGGTGGGGAGAGATGTTCCCAGTCAGCTCTATAATGAAAGCACCTTCACCATGGAGTCGCTGGCGGTGCTCAAAGCCTGGGCGGAGGTACTCAACACCATCCTAGAACTTTTAAATCACACACACTTTTGTGGTTGTTTCACTGTAGGGACGGGCAGGATGATGAAAAAACAACTAGTAAAATGGCGGAAGAGCAGAAGTATCTTTAAGTTACTCTTGCGTGGGCTTAGTTAGATGGCTTGTATAGTGACTGAACAAAAATATTTTAAAACTGTTCTGAAAGTTGACTGGATTTACAAATAGCCATACATTTTTAACATGTGAAAGTAATAAAAACTATTCCTTCCAATATTATAATATTTATTAAAATTGGAGTAAAGTTATAAAAAATAAGTTCAAGTAATGTTTTAAAGAGAGAAACTTGTTGAACAAAAAAAATCTGTAGCACTACTTACTGTTTGAGATTTTTTACAGTGTGGTATATCTGTGGTCAAGATCTTAAATTATCATATCCTAAAAGAGTATTGAATTCTTGCAATGCCTGAGAATACTGAATTGGTGGAATTATGTATTATTTAGGTCACACTTTACAACAAGGTTTCATTAGTTAATGTATTTACATTTTTATAGAAGAAGAATTATTAGATTATTATTATGTAAATGAATACTAGTTTCATAATAAAACGGTGATATGTCTCTGTTGCTTTAGTTTTTTTTCATTAATAAGTCATTATGTAAGCTAATAAGTATTACACTTAGATGTGTTTTCCCAATTTCATTAGAATTTGATCTAAAAAATAAAGTACACATAAATTCTTGATCAGTAAAAAAAAATATATATATTTATATATATATATTTGTGGCAATTAACTTTTTTCAAGTTTTCAAGTAAATGTTAGATAATGCCCCATCTGATCTGTGTTTTTTTTTTTTTTTTAAATCAGAAAGCTATAATGTTCTCTGAATGTGTATGTGTCTTAACTCTGCAGGTCTACATCACAGCAGTGCAGGGCTCTAGGCAGAGGGACAGTCCGGTCAGTCATCAGCAGCAGCAGAGTGAGGAGGCTGGGACTGCAGGTCAAGCAGGGGCTGGTTTGCTCAAACTAGTTCAGACTGATCTGGCAACCCTGAGTCGCCTATGGCTGGCAGCCCTTCAGGATCATGCCCTGCTCACACTGCCCCCACACTACTCTAGTCATCTTCCCTCCACAGGTCAATGCTCATGATTCTCAGGTTACACAGCACAGTGTTGAATATCTGTGCTATTGGTGGATCCAAAATGTTTGTATAAATAGAGGAAAACAAGTTAAATGTAAAGAATAAAGTTAATATTAATGTATAGGGTTAATGTTAGTCTATGAAGTAGTACAAAACAATTATAATACTTTATAATATTATAATATTATAATATTTCCTTTTCTATTTGGTATTTCTTATTGGCAAAGCTGAAGTTTCAGCATCATTACTGAAATCTACAGTGTCTCGTGATCCTCAATTTTTTTTGTTCTGGTGCTTGAGAAACATTTCCTATTACAGTTTCTGTTATTAAAGTTGAAAACAGCTGCTCTGTCACTGTCTAATCAATTTATTGCATTCTTACCGAGTCAAAGTATAAATAAAAAAAAAATAATAACTTTTACTAAGGCCAATCATCAATTCATGGTTTCCATAAAATCTAAATATTCTGCACGTTATTTTTTTACTATTGTAAGACATGGCAGTGATTTGATAATGTAATTGACAATTTTTTATTACTGTGTAGTTTGTCTTGTTCACAGTTACTATGTGTGTGAGTTCAAATTCTAACAGGCTTCTCTGTTTGTCAGGCGGCTCATTTTACACTGCAGAAACGGTGGAACAGGCCCGTCCACATTACTACAGTGCCTGGGCAACCATTCTCCATGCCACTGCCCTCTGGCTCAACAGCACCGGCTTTATCGTGGTGGATGAGGGCCCTGCAAACCTTTCCAGGCCCGTCACGCCCACTTCCATGGGCCAGTCCACATCACTGAGCAACGTTAAATCTCCAGAGGACATCAACAGTGATCGCCTACACCTCATCCTTGGTACATGGCTCAGTTAATGTTTCTGCTTTCATGAAGTAGATGTAGTTCATTGTTTATAGTGTATGTTGCTTTATTAAAAACACTGGGTTTTGCTCTAGAATCTAGTCATTCTTTATGGAATGTTTATCAGGATCCTGCATCGTACCAATCATAAATACAGGTGTGAATATGGTCTGAAATATCTCAAGCATTTTGACCACTTTCAGAGGTAGTTGAAAACTCACAAACGGATTGCTTTCTTAGTGTTTGGTTTGAAGGTGAAAAAAAGTACAATGGTCTACTAATGGTCCTCTTTCTAACACAAACCATCAGTGTTCAGTGTAGTTTTGCAGCTATCAGAGCAAAAATGAAGCTGCTGCACTTTTTTTTTTTTGTCTCCTTTTTTTAGTTTATTTGTATAGCACTGTTCACAATAATTGTTACACAGCAGCTTTACAAAAGGTGCACCTGCAATACTATCAAAATCAAAAAGTTAAGTTACAAAAGTTAAGGTTATTAGTTGCAGGAATTTTATAACTTTAATTACTTTAATAAAGTTGTTAATTGTTAGTTAATTAAAGTTATTATATATGAACGTGTTTAACCTGCAGTTATGTAGTATATAGGTGATGTCTATGTGTATATATTCAATGAAGTGTGTTTGTGTATTAAGTGCATATGCTGTCCTTGGCTGGTTGGCATTATCTCTTCACATGTCTTGGATCTGATGGGCATCTCCAGGTGGAAATAGAGAGCAAAGAAAATAATTAATGTATATTTGATATTTACATATTTTTGATATGTAAATATAAAATGCACACATACTTATTTTGCAATGTCAGATTGAAAAAGCTCATTTACTATAGACCCTTTCCTCAAAGAAATCAAGAAGGGGATCGAAAATGGTCTAAAGAGTCTGATACTACACATGTTGTAAATGGGAATGTGTATCACTCATCTTTATCATCTATAATAGACCAAAATATTATGTTAATTCTGGGTGTAAATAGGCCTTGATTCTTAATTATGTGAATTATGTTATATTTATTCTTCTTTATTGTTGTTTTTGTTTACTTTATTTCTCCTGTCAGGGATCAGTGTGGAGTTTTTGTGCTCTCCTCATTCTGGAGACCAAATGGAAAACATTCATTCATGTCTTCAGGCTCTGCAGGCCTTATTGGAGGTGCCTTGGCCTCGCTCAAAAGTGGGCAATGATCAGGTATTCTACAGTGTAAAGCAAGCTATTACTGTAATTTGTGTATGCTATGATTAAAATCAGGGGTCAGTTGCATAAACACATCCACCATGCTAAGATATTCTACTAGGACTAGTTTGTCCAAATAGCAGGTAGCCAAGTGATCTGGCTTTTTGAACTCAGACTAGAGTTGTCAGCATTTTTTTACATATGAGTTTAAAAAATTGTGGCTAATCCTGAAGAAAAATGTTTGGCGACTAACTTTTTAAAACCAGCCTAACCAGTTTATGCTACTGGCCACAGATGTGTTTTTATGTTAATGAAAGGGTTTTTAGACTATTAAAATGAAATTTGATCAAAAGTGATTGCAACAATGTTTAGAGTAATACTTAAAAATATAAAAATTAAATAATTATCAATTATAAATAGCGTAATAATATAAATAATAATATAATAGATAATAAAATAATTTAATGGCTTTTTGAAGGCTCATTTGGCACTGTAAAAGTTTTAAAACATTACTGGTTTTAATGTATTTTGTGATGTAATAAATAATGCAGCCTTTCAGAGCACATTTCAGAGCACATCAGTTTTTGGATTACTTTAGCATTTTAATTATTGTACCACTATTTTTTGGTTTGTGTTAATCTCTATAATTAAAAAATCAATTATCAAATGATCAGTTTACCTTTTTTCTCTAAATAACCCAGAGTTCTCATTCTGCTTTAGATATATTTCTATTAGTAGAAACAATACTGGACTGATTTAAATTGCACTATGATTCTTCAAGGCCTGCGGTTTAGGATTTGTCTTCGTGTCATTCATGTGTTTTGATCTCTGTTCCTGAAAGTCGATGATGTTCTCTCTTTAGGCTCTGAGTGTGGAGCTGCTTAGCATCCTGCATAGGCTCATAGTCACTCGGGAATCTCCCAGCATTCAGCTGGCTGTGCTGGAACTGGTGCAGCAGATTATTTGTGCAGCTCAGGAACACGTCAGAGAAAAACGCCACAGCGCAGAGGGTGAGTCTGAACTCAAAAGGCACCATGTAGTGCTTGAATAACCCTCTGAAGTTATCATTCTTCCTTGTGTTTAATCAGTGGATGACGGTGCGGCAGAGAAGGAAACAGTTCCTGAGTTTGGTGAGGGACGAGACACTGGTGGCCTGGTGCCAGGGAGATCTCTCGTGTTTGGAGCACTGGAGCTGTGTCTCTGCACGCTTGTGAGGAAGCTTCCGCAGCTCAGCCCCAAACTGACCGGCAGTCCCACGGGACGGGGAGGACAGACGTGCTCCCTCAGCGCCACTGACTGCAGACTCGTCACATCTGCTCTGGCCATCCTCTCTGAACTGCCCTCCATCTGTTCACCAGAGGGTAAGTGATCCGGAGAATTACAGAGGACATAAGAGCTTTTGGATTATGTTGAAAACACCCTCCTGCACACTTCATTTGAATCCATTTTCATTTAGTCTATTTGATTTTGATGCCAGCCATATTTCGTTATGTACTAGATTTCAAGGTTATGGAAGACAATTTTTTTATTATTATTATTTTTCTATCTTATTAAATATAGCAGTGTTTAATGTAGATCGTTTATATACAATTAAAACTAACTTATTTACAATTTAACTTCTGTCAGTACTGTTCAGTTCCAGTCCAGCAATTTCTGATTTCTGATTTACAACAGTTTATTTTATTTAAATCTTTGTTTTATTTTGCAGAATGTAGTTTCTAATGTATATTTATACAGTTTAATATTGTATATATGTAAAATTCAAATCCATCCTATACTTTATCTTGTTCTAGAAGCTGCTTCATTTATCATAATAGGGACACACAGCTTTTCATGCTGAACTTATAGGGAAAGTTCACCCAAAATTAAAAATCTGCTGTTAATTCACTCCCCTTTAAAGATGTAAGTTCTTGTTTTTCTCTAGTAGGACATTAAATTAGTGATCATGGATATTTGTTTACATTGAGCACTCAAGAGTCCAATAAATAAATAAAACAAAATGAAAACCTGTGGCCTCTGAGGATTGAGGTCTTTCTGCAAGAAACTAAGCATTATTATCTAATCCACAGCCTAAGCAGTCAGCAAACCGCATTGTAGAGTAGGGCTCACAATTTTGGAAAAAAAAAAAAGACTAATTTATCATCTACATTTTTTAATATTGAGGATAATTTTACCAGAGGAAATAAATCGATCATTTAAGGTTGATTTTGATGACTTTCTAGGGGAGTTCATCTGCATAAAAATATGATAAAATAATCACAAGCATTGATAATACAGTAGAGCAAAGTTACAAATGAAACAAATGCTTTATGGTTTTCCTGGAGTTTAGCAGTATTCAGCTACACAAATTGATCGGTTTAATGTAAAACAACACTGTATCATCTTTATAGTGTACATGTACATAAATATAGTTCATCTTTCTTAAAGTTACAAATGTTGTAATTGAGTAAACCTTAATGCTTTGAACTGGCTTGAAATGCTTTCACAGTCACAGGCCTTAAAACACTTAAACTTTAGGAACTTTATAGTTAACCTTTACAATGATTCACAAATCAGCTGTGCTTTCAACTGAGGCTCTTAGCCAGCTATAATCCTAATTCCACATTGCAGATCCTGCAATGTGTAAATTGCAAATGGTCACATTGCATTTCAAAGCTAAAATTATTTCTTGTATTAACCTTATTCTTCACATAAGAGTGGGCTAAGCCAGTTTAATCTCGGCACAAAATTTCTGGTCTCATTTACTTCCATTCCTTTTTCAGACATTAAAAATGGCTTTGTTACACTGCTTTATATTGCAAACTGATATTTTCAGATTTTATTATTCTGCTTTGTCTGTATAGTCATAGACACACTTGTTTGTAGAGCATGTAGTTTGACCATTTTCGGCCGTTTATAATTCCTAGTAATTTTTCCAATAAGAAACTGAATTGGAAGATCGAAATTTCTTTAGACTGCTTTAGACTGAGTAAATCATCAATATTTAATTTATTTGATGAACCATCCCCTTCAAATCGATAACATGTTTTAGTTGACACTGTTAAAAAAAATCTGTAAAATCTACATGAAAAAAGACAGCTGTGGTTGTATGTATTTTACCGTTAAAATACGGCACAAAACTGTAAAATAAATGCTTTTTTTTTTTACAGTAAATAGTCGTATTTCTTTGATGTATAATGTTTATACCATAGACTGTAAAAGATATGGACGTGTCATCACACCAACAAGGAGATGCCAAACAAGGGCAAAGAGGCGGAGCGCGAGCAGAACTACAGACGGCTGCTAGCATTTTTCTTAGACGGGCTTTCCTATGGGAGAAACGCTAATACTTCATTACCTGCGACCTGTTTGTGTTCTGACCACATGTGCTTGGTTGCACTATATCAGTGTTTAGACTTTTAAAAACACTATTTTAATACATTGAGCCACTAAACATTGTTATATTGACGTTTTGTCTACAGGAGGAAACACCAAATTACTTCCAAACACATAAAATATTCACCTTATTCTCAGCTGACGAGTGGGCGCTGCCATTCGAATCTTTTTGTCTCGCGACTTCCGGTCACATTCACTTCCATTCATTTTTTGACGTTAACAACTGCTCGTTACGCTGCTTGATGTTGCAATTTAATATTTTCCTATTATATTATGCTACTTGGTCTGTGTAGTCATGCAAACATTTGTTTGTTGAGCAAGTAGTTTGGCCATTTTCTGCCGTTTATTATTCCTAGTCATTTCTCCCATAGGCGACTGAATCGGAAGTTCTAAGACAATCGCGAAAACAGCCACACTTCCGTATTTTAGAATAAGGTCAATAGTCTGTGTTAGTAAATGCAAGGCTATTGATGAAATCCAGGCATAACACTGTATGACAAAGCTTCAAATGACTGTTTTATGGCCTACAGCTAATCAATCTGTCAGATTCTGGAGGGCATTACGGGTCTAAAGAACATTATAAATGACGAATGATCTTAAATAAACTAACAATACATTTATAGAAATGGTGGATTAAGTATATAATTTCATTTATCTGGAAAACGGAGGCCACGTGAATGGTTTGTGAGTACAATAAAGTGTACACAGCATCCCATATCATCTGATAATTGTAAGAAATAATTCCTGAAAGCAATTGTCTGTGTAAAGCCACATAAAACAAAAGTATGATATATATATGCCGAGTTCAGTGGCGAATCAGCTGAGGTGACGTGACAGCAACCAGCGAGACCTAGCTGTCACTCAGGTGGCCACGCCTTTAATTATGCAGACTTGAAATAACCTAATATAAAGGAAACAGATGAGATATAAAAAAATTTACCCCCCTCACAGTTGTCATGAAGGGTAATATTAGCTATATGAACCAAAATCGTTCTTTGTACCTGACTACAAACACCTTTTTCTTTGCTGTAAAGTTGGTCATTTTAACAGTGGGGTCAGTAGAAATTTGCTCTAAATGGAGCCAGGAATAGCGGTATTTTGATGAATTGCAGTTTCATTTACTTCCCTATTTGCTTTACGAGGGAGAGCGGGAGGTTACCGCTTAGTTTATACACCAATCTTTTGAAGTTCTAACATCTACAAATTAAACCCTTTGTTTCACAGATTGTAATAATATATATATATATATATATATATATATATATATATATATATATATATATATATATATATATATATATATATATATATATGAGATATGATATAATATATTTATATGAGATATGATATAATATATTTATATATATGAACCAATGCTCATATCAAACAATGTTTCCCATAAGCAAAGAAACATACTAATATACTGAAAGCACTCTGTGACATTCCCACAACTATGAAACACCCTCATGGTAACACTAAAAATGTAAGCAATTTAATAAACATTTATTGATATGTAGATGTAACACAGAACTCTAATCTACATAACTGATGGGAATAAACCTAAAAAAACAAAAACAAAAGAACCATAGTAATGTCAACAAAAAGCATTAAAAGTGAAGTATCACACAGGGAATTCTGGGAACTTATTAACGGTTTATGGTTGTTCACCATACATACTGTTGACAAGATTACAGATTTTTTACTTGAGTATTTTTACTATTAAAATCACAGACATTTGCACAGTTCACTGTCAAACATTCTGACATGCTTTCAGATGAAATGTCTCAGTTGTGTTTTTAGTTTTCCTCTGTAGTTCAGTTTTGATCAGTTGAATGCGGTTTTGTTCCTCCCTCTGCAGGCAGTGTGTCAGTGCTGCCCACAGTGCTGTATCTGCTGCTCGGGGTTTTGAAAGAGGCAGTGAAAGGCTCTGTTGGAACTGAGAGTGGACAGCTGGTGTCAGGCATCCTGCAGGCCCTGCGCACTCTTCTCACTTCTCCCATGAGCAGAGCTGAGAAGAGTCGTGGGGCCTGGACTCAACTACTGCAATGCGCACTTCACACACTCCTGGAGTCCTGGAGTACAGGTAATTCTCTGTCAGATCACTCAGTCGCTACACGGTTTTCAGCATATGAAATCACTCACAGAGCTTGTCTTGAGCAGATAAAGTGGAGCCTGGAGTAGATGAGGTCACCATGTTGACATCGCTCACCATCTTCCTGCTGTACGCCAGCGCTGAGGTCACCTCTGTAGAGCCACTGCAAACCCGCTGCATCCAGACATTCAGAGCAAGTCTGGACTCCAAAGACCCCGTGGTAAGTGAGGGGGCAATTATAAAAGCTTTTTTATGAAATTAAATATTTTTTATACTAAAAGGTCAGATTAAATTCATTAAACTATAAATGTTACGATGGTATTTTTTATAAAGGATCTTTGTTTCACATAAATGCTACTTTGAGAGAAAAAATGTATTAAGCTCCTCAATTGTAAGTCATTTTGGATGAAAGCATCTACTAAATTATGAAATGTAAATTAAGCAGCAAAGCATTTTTAACATTTGTGCTCATGAAACATTTCTTGCTATTACCTATTGGAATGATTTCTGAAACAATCATGTCAAACTTTAGTAATAGCTGCCAAAAATTCAGCTTTATGCTGTCTTAACACCAGACGCGGAACGCGCGGATAAATTGCGCTATTCGCGCGTAAATAGCCGCGTGAACATTTGAGTTTACTCGCTTCATTCGCGTGTCAAACCCCGCTTCATTCGCATGTCAAACCCCGCTTCATTCGCATGTGAAATCCGCTTCATTCGCGTGTCAAATTCACTTCAGAACAGACACGGATTCTCGTGATGGGCAGGGCTTCTGTCTGCCCGGTGACTGTAGCTTCGTTGCTAAAAGGCTATCATGGATTTTATGAAGAAAATAACAGTGTTTATGTACTTTATGTAGGCTGAAAAACAGCGTCGATACGTTTAGGACCGTGTCTGAGTCCACTACATGCTTTCAGAGGTGCATCCAGTTGTGTGAGCTCCTAAACTCCTCCAGAAACTGAACCTGGATGACGGAGGCTTTCAGTTGTGCTTCTGGCTGAGCCAAGCCCAGTTTGATGACTTGTTGTCGGTGTCGGCTGAAAGATTTCCCCCGGGACACCATCAACAGGTTCTACGTCACAATCGGTCCCCCTACAAGAGCAAGCTTCTGATTGGTGAACACGGCGCGCAAAACTCTCAATTTGCACCACGCCATTTGCGTCATTCGTGCCTTGCTTATCGCGCCGCAGGATGTCTATTCGCGCGTTTGCATTGACTTAACATGTTAATCACACGCGCTTGACGTGCGTTCTGCGTCTGGTGTGAACGCAGCATTACAATTGCATAATTACATTTAAATTACTTTATTCAAACATTTTATTATATTCAGCAGATTTAAAAATAGACAATTAAAATTGTATATATATATTTTATATTATATTATATTATGTCATATTTTTATTTCATTTTAGAAAAACGTAAATGTCGAGGCTTTGTTTTAAAACATTTAAAAAGATCTTACCAAGCCCCATATTTTGAAACGGTGGTTTAATTTGCTCCTACAAATTCTGCATGATATATATTTTTTAATGTTTTTTTTTTTTTATTATTCCTCTATTAGGTGCTGAGCAGGAGTTACCAGTTGCTATTATCTTTATTTCAAGGCCCAGCGCCAGTAGCAAGGCCATTTATTCTGGCTCTAGGTGGTCGTCTGGTGTCTCAACTGGAGGAAGCTGAAAAGAGTCGTCCTCAAGGCCCAGCAGAGCTACAGGCCGTACAAGATGCAATCCGGGCCCTGGAAGCACTAGTGTTTGCTGCGGATGAAACTCACCGTAAGTCACTGCCAGTGTTCACAGTCTACAGTTAAGATAACAATATTAAGAATTGATTGGCTCTAAATAACTTTAAATCTTAAAGGGATATTGTTTCAAAATGTAATCACCATTTATGCACCCTTAAGTGCATTTAAAACTTTGAGTTTGTTTTTTGTTGAACACAAAAGAAGATATTTTGAACAATGCTGGTAATTGGTAATCATTGACATCTATAGATGGCTACTGTCATTTAACAGAAGAAACAAGCTTAATTTTAAGTACATGCTAAAACGGACAATCCTTTTTTTTATTTTATTTTATTTTTTTTTTTTTGTCTGGAGCCAGCATTTAAGCTTCTCACCTTTGTCATGATGTGACAATATAAGGGATTTGATTTGATTTAGGATACGAAGATAATCAAATGAGTATTTGTTTGATTCCATGCAGGTCCTCAGCTGGTGGCTGTGCTGCTGCCTATCCTCATCTCCCTCCTCTTAGATGAGAATGCTTTGGCATCGGCTCCGGCGGCTTCTCGCTTGCTGCACGAATCTGCCTTGAGAGACCTCATGCGCATCGGCCCCCAGCACTCGGCTGTCTTAAAAGCGCTGATGGCCTCCGCTCCGCACATGAAAGCCAGACTGGAAGCAGCAGTCAAGGGGAACCAGGAGAGCGTGAACTCTAAAGCACAAGCACCTCCAGCCATCAGCAAAAACACACCCAGCATTCAACTGAAGATCAATTTCCTCTGAATCCAGTATTACGATAGAAATGACTGAGTGAATGTTTTAATCAGTGGTGTTTTAACGATAAATCACTTTAAAACTTGTGTCATTTAATAATTGTAGTCCGTTTCAGAAGTGCATTAACCTCTATGAGGATATTAATACTTATTTACTTACAGAACGCAAGGAAAGGGGTTTTACAGGAATCGACTCAATCCTGGAAGTGAATGGCTTTCATTTATCTATTTTAGTCATCATGCAGTTTTGTGATGGGTTTTATTATTATCTGTTTAAAGAATGCAAATCATTAATTTCTCATCAACATGCTGCATTTCACAACTCAGCCTGGTGCAAAATCAGCTGCTCTGCTGGTCGTCAGTTACTTACTGAATTTTCATATACAGTTCACCACGTCGTCTAGTAGTTTTAATTGCTTAAAGATAGATACATGGGTTGTGAATGTATTTATAAGAAAGCATTACAAACAAATGCTTTAATTGTATAACTTCACTGATATGTCTAATATAGCTGCACTGTGGATGGAAGTGATTTCTACTGCATATAAACCTGTATGTATTAATCTAAATTGAAGCAAAAAGTCACATTTTATGATATAAAAGCTCAAAATGACATCACTGTTTGTTAATAATAACATTAAAATTGAAGAAGGTGGTCATGAAGTCAATTTTACATCAAGAATTGTTACTTTTCATGTCTATTTAAACTAATTTGGTATGTTTTTTATCATAATGTTAGTTTTTATCTTAAAACTGATTGTACTTTTTTTCTCATCACAACTGTTAATTTTAATCTCAATTAAGATTTCACACCTCATGATTATTTTATTATGTGGCTGAAATGGGTTTTCATGCATTCGAAATAGTAGTTTGATTTTGTGTATTGAGATTATGCATGCAAATCTGTGTTGGTGTCATTTATTACAGTTAATCTATTTTCACTTCTGACATGCAGTTTAAGCATTAGACTGATCATAAGTGAGCAAAAACATTAAACAAGCAGCAGAATATTTAATACACTAACATACTACAAACAAGTTTACAATGCAAGAAAACACAAAACACATTCTTCCACAAATATTCTGTAGACTTAAGGTGCTGCTTTCTTCTAGAAGCTGTGATGATCAATACAATTATGCATTTGTAACCTTACATTTTGTATAATGTAAATTGTACAGATTATATAATAATGCAAAAATAACATTTATTTTCTGGTTATATTACAAGAATAAAATCTAGATTTGCTTCAAGAGTCTCTGTTTTTACTCTACAGTGAAACCTAGGAGGGACATTCCTCAGTGTATAGTATGTCTTCATTTTAAAATGTCTTAAAATCTCTTAAATATGTCTCTTTTGTTATTATTCATCGATAAAACGGATAATGCATTCAAGTAGTTTTGGGATTTACGTTAACCAAATATAGCTTGCTTCGTATATTAGACAGCGAGCGTCTTTGTTCACTTTGTACAATTTCGCAATATAGGTGAATGAATGTCTGATCTGTTTTTTTGTCGACCTCGATGAAGGCGAGGTGTTTTAGCACCCCCTGTCGCTGAGCCGCATCGCTGCGTGTTTCTGACCGCTGCTGCTGCTGCTGCCGCGGAGCCTCGTGATATGCGGAGCCTCGACTAGTTCTCTCGTCTGCTCTCCATTTCACTCGATATTTCACCCGTCGCCTTCCCGTTCACTTTGACCTCTACCTTACGACCAACAGAAGCGGGGAATGAAGCAATATTCACATCTCTCCGACTGATACAACTTCATTCCGAGACGAATTCTGTCCACCCTGTGTGTGTTTTCTCGTCGTTCGGCGATAAACGGTGAGTGTTTGTGTGTGTCGGCAGAGGGTTTGTGTCTCTGCTTCAGAGGCGCGTTGAGGCCTCGGGCTTTCACTCAAATTTAGCTCGCGGATTTAGTGGTAAACAGGAGGCCGCTGATGTGTGTCTTTGTTTTATGGGTTTTCAACGTTAAAATGTTTTCAGATCTATTTTATGTATGGATGGAAAACATATTCCTTCGTTATTCAAATAAAGTAAACGAAGTTTGGGATTAATTAGGTCTCCCGAAGTGAAGCTAACAGGACGCATTTTAGCTAACGTAATCCCAGCTAGCCAAGTGTCGCTTTCACAGCCGTTTATTAGTGGTTTTACTCTTTTAGTGGGAAAAACATATAGTCAAATACAATTGTTAACGAGAAATTAAACGTTTGTAGAGTCTGTCATGGCGTTTAAGCTAACATAAGCTGTTTGAGCTCCAGAAAGAGGCCATCAGGACCAGATTGGACGTGAATATATTATTATTTCTTTGCTTAACTTGTTTCTGTAACGAACAGTCACGGTTATTTCGTGTGATATCGTTATGCTGTTTATTATGAGCCGTGTTCAGGTTTAATTTGACTTTGTTCACCTGCTCTGATCTCAGAATCGTGTTAGATGGCAATACATGAAGTTAAACAAACGACGTTATTTTGTAGATCAAACATATTGTTGGTGACCTGTTAGCGCTCATAGACACCGTATGTGTCCTCCTGAAAGGTGAGTTTTACTGTGTTGTTGTATAGGCTGTTGACATGATGACATCGCCTGCAATCAAGTTGTTTTTTGACTCCTTAGTCAGCTGCACTGGCAGAAAGTCAAAGAACATCATTTGAATCATGTTTGTCCATGAAACATCAAATGTCCTGAGTGTAAGAGCCACGGATAAAGCTGAACGTTTGCTGTGAAGTTCAATTGATCTCCATGCTCTAAGAACAACAACTGACTAAATATACTTTAGTAGTTACATTTAATTAGTTTAATCTATTTTACTATTAGACATTTTGATTAGTCTAATCTTTATTTAATAACTTTAAAGGTAAGCACGTGTGTGAATGTGTTGCTCACGCTAAATAAATAAACGAAGAGCTAAATAAATAGTTTTACCAAGACGATCAAAGCTTATTTACACTTGTAGTTCAATTATGATGTTTTGTTAGGTCCAGACAAATAAAGAAAACAATGCACGATCCTTGATCACTTGGCATTCGACGTTTCATTTCCAAGACTGAACATAAAAGGGGAAAACAAACAGATCATGTTTGTAAAACTCTGTAACCACCCAAAAACAATGCAGTGGGCTGGGCTGAATGTGAATGTTTGTACATACTTATGATTGTATTTTCTCCATATCAGCCAATAACTCCTAAATGATTTATAAAATGTGTTGAGTCCAAACGATGCCAGGAATTCCCATGTTGAACACTCAAACTCATTTCCAATGCCTGTATTAAAATGTAGCAGACAACATTTTTATGATGACATGAAAACCTAGAGAGACAGAGCTTTCTGTCAGTTTTAAGGTCTCATCTTGTGATGTCATGTCCTGTTTTAGGCTCGTTTCTGTGCCCTTGTTCTATGTTGTATTCATATTTCAGTTGAACCACACCGGTATTGGTTTGGTAGACACTGAGGCCTTTTTTTCCAGCAGTCAAGCTTTGCATGTTTGATGTGCACCAAGGTGCGGATGACAGCATTCACACTTTTTCAAATGAACCACATAAACAGAGAAATCACATTAGAGTTGTTTTAATTATCAAACCAAACATTCAGGTTGAACACTCCCTGAAAACCCTTAGAAATGTACACTGTAAAACTTTTGAGTTAACTAGACTCATTTCATTTGATAAAGTTGTCAAATGAAATGAGTTTCGTTAACTTTAAATTTACTGAAAGTTAATTCTACTAATTTGAAATGAGTTTTGAACTCTGTGTTGAAGGCAATACATTAATTAAATACCTCTCAATACCATTCAACTTAAATGCAGTAGTTTCACAATACTCGTACAGATTAGTTTTTAAACTCAAATGGTTTGTAGCAATCGGTTTGATTAAACGGTTTGTGTTGCCTAAACTTATTGGGTTTTACAGTACTCAGTTGGTTTGACTTCTCTTCATTTATCAGGGTTCACTTTGCTCAAAATGCTTCATTTACTCAAATGGAGACTCATTAGGATTAGTTTTTCAGCTTAAATGGTTTGTTACAACCAGTTTTCCTCAAGGGGTTTAAGTTACCTTAACTTTTTGGGTTTTACAGTGTATGTATCAAAACAGAACTTTGGGCTTTAATAGGTTTTAGTTAATAAACTACAAACAGAACCTTAACAATAACTTGATGTTATGAATATAAATTGTATGTTATTGGTCTAGTGGATTAATCGACTGGGAATGAACATATCTATTAGTTTGAAAATGGCATAATTACAGTAAACTTTCAGAGTTCTCTTTCCAAGAGAGAGTGTATCCCAGGGCTATGGCATCATAACTTGCTTTCTGAAGTCTAGCATATTGGATGCATTGTTTGCTTCACAATGGTCCAGTGTTACTGTTAAGGTTACAAAACCAGAAAGAGCAACTCAGGATATGTTCTCTCATAGATTAAAAAGTTAATTGGTGCAAGCATATGCTGCAATTGTATAATTTGATTACAATCAGGCGACTTTCATATTTAAAACTCATTTAGGGGGTGTTCACAATTAGCAAGTTTGCTTCAATTAAACTGCCCTGGTGTGAGTTTGCTGTTAATGCAGTTCATTTGAATAAGTGTAAATGCCAGGGTGTGACAAAAAAAACCCACCTTCTTGTTCCCCTTCCAAATAAACTTGTTTGTTTCGGCTGAAATATGAACACACCAAATGCAAATTAGGCCTGTCACAATTATAAATATATCGATATGTCAACACAGTACATGGACATGACCTCGATTATTTTTTGTGATGCAATATATATCATCCATACATAAAACATTTAAGCTGATAGTGCAACATCTCTGTCTCTATTGGAGGTGTTAGTCTCAGTATGGTTAAAAAAACTATTTTATCCACTATGAATTACTACTTTTTTCATGTGGGTATCTGAGATCTGGTAGCAGATGTCGCAATCTCTGTTACTTTTTACCTTGCACCTGTTTTTTTACATTTATTATTATTATGATTATTATTTATTTAGGATATAAGTTTTCACATTCTGATTCTAATGCCTCAATTTTAAATGGTTAAAATGACTTATTAAATGAAAATTCTTAAGAATAAAATATTGTGTGTTTTTTGGAATAGAGTACTTGCATCGTGATAATACTGTATTGTCATTCAGGCATTATATAATGAGTGGCATAAAATGGCCTTAAAATTACAATAATATAGTTTATCGCAATATATTTTGGTGCAATATTTCATAAAACAAAAATAGATATTGTGACAGGCCTAATGCCAATGAGCAATCAAACCAAAAATAGGACTTAACTTCAGAAGATGCGACTAAAAAGACCTAATAAAATACTCAAGCATACCTGTTTGTTTCTTGTGATTGTCATCATGATTCTCGTATTCCTAAAGCAGATCTTAATGTTTGTGTGTGAACAGGAATTCTTGATGTTTTTTTTTTGTCGTAGTAGTAGTTTATTTATATAGCACATTTTTACAACACAACATTGCCCAAAGTGCTGAACACTCTTTCACACATTTATAGGAACATCATCATGACTTGACTGATAAAAATAGTATGATGTGTAAACGGATGTTTGGATGTTCAGTAAGTTGTCAAAAACTACAAGAGCCATAAAAGGCTTTTTTTTTTTTTTTTGTATCTTTAGTTTCATTTAAAAATGCCAGCATAAACACTAATTACTCTAGGGCAGTTTTTTTTTTCAAGATTTTCTTCTTTGCATCCTGTAAAAGTGTGGATAAGGCCCTAAACACTTGCTTTGACTGTCAAGTTCAACAGGACATTCTCCCCAAGTCAAGTTAGCCTCTTAATCTGTTGATAAGTGGATCTCTCTGTTAGCCTCTAAGAAGCTGGTGTATCCATCTGAAGCCTGTCTGCAGCCAGCCGGGCAGTAATGAAGGACAGACTTTTGCTACTTCACATAAATCTGCCATTCTTATGAATTTATCCCAATGCTTAGCTCAGCTTGTCTGCTTTAGAAAAGTGCTGCTCTTTAATGGTTTGTTTCTCAGAACAATAAAAGCCTAGTGATTCTCAGTTTTTGTTGCCTGCTGTGTGTCTGTGAAGAGCTGGGCTGTTTGGGCCACACACTGTGAGTCATTGATGAACTATTCATCATCATGCGAACTGTTTGTTGGCCAGGCTTGCTAATCAGCTAATCACACCGATTTCTTTCAGTGCTTTGATTACAGGCAACAGTTCATCATGTTTATAGTCTGATCTACTCCTATTAGTATACCTTTCAAGTGCATACATCTTCAAAGAGTCATCTA